TTCAAACCTAGTAGAATTTAAAGAATTTTAATATCCTGATAATACAACAGGAACTAACAAAGGACAAATAGAAAAATACTAGCCTAGGCTAGTTTCATGTAAATATAAACATAAATATAAAATTATTCTCAAAGTCTTTTAGTGCTTTGCTGTAGTTTCTTCCTCCACAACATTCATCAACCAGAAAAGCTTGCCTTTAGCTACTTTCCATATTCACTGACATGTGAATCCCCTTTGTTGATAATGCAAAGCTCTACTTTCACAGAAATTTGTGCATTACAAAACACGAGATCTGTGTGCTCTTTTTACACTGATGCTGCAAAATGTCAGGTCTTACCATTGGGTAGCTTCAGGTCTGGGGATCTTGCAGATCAGTTTCCATAAAAAACCCAGCATGACAGCTACACGGAACCTGGATGGTTCCTAGAGGAAGCTGTTTATTTGTGATACACCAGTCTCTGAGCCAAGAGGACTATGAATGGCACAACAAAAATCTGCTTTCTAGGAGTTCTGTCCTAAACATTATAAACAGGGTTACAAAAAGCATTTCATACTAAAATTACTTTTAGAGAGAAATTTAGACAGGTTTCATTAAAAGTTTAGAGAAAAGCAGCAAGAAAAATCACAAAGGGGATTTGCAATTCCCCTCAGAACTCTCTAAGTGATTACGTGAGATAAAGGTATCAAAAATCACATATGTCATCAGGGACTAATCTGCAGATTAAGAATCAGAACATGTAAGAATGTACAGGGCTGAGGTCTCTGACACCCATGAAGCCATGCCTTATCACTTGGTTAAATTCACAAATATTTACAAGGTAAAGAGAATACTACAGCGAGCTTTCCCAATAGCTAAATGAAAGTAAACATGTTTTTACAACCTTAGAACAGGATGCAAACATAAAAGAAAAGTCAAATTACAATTAGAAGTTAAGTTTTTGCATTCCACGGGAAAGAACCCAAATACAATTTGTGCATTGTTCTTCATTTCCCTGCCTACTCCTTGCTCTGCTGCTCAGTAGTGCTGTATGTCTTGGTATAGAGGCAGAGAGGTGTGGTTGTTCAAGCCCTGCAATTTCCAGAATTCCTCATTCTCCAAGAGATAGTCCCAGCACCTGCATTATCTGCAGGCTGCAGACAGTCTTGGGGGTGACAAGTGATGTCAGGGCCTGAAGATGCCTCAGACACTGGTGCAGTGTAGAAAGGAGTACCCATAGCTAGAAGTACATGTGTTGTCACTATACCAGCACAGGAGCCCGAAATCTCCAGAACTTCTCCCTCTGCTTGGTGTTCATTGCTGGTTAATGCAGTGACAGAACACACTGCTTGCCTATTAGTGTATTTATTCATTTCAGGGAATTAAATATCAGGCTTTCTATAAATAATTCATTATAACTCCTAAGAAATAAGCAACTATGATTGCCCATGCCACCTAAAAAGACCTTGCTATATTAATTAAAATTATTTACTGCATTAAGCTGTGCAAGCAGTAAAAAAATTAGCCAGTCTGATAAATTCAGTTCAGGTAACTAGAAATTGAGGGAGAAAAAACGAAAACCACAGCACAACAGCTACCCCTATAAATGTACCTGGACTCGGTCACATGACTTCATTGGTTCGAGGTTTGATCCTTCTTTGATCTGGAAAGTTCATGTCTGGTGGCAAAATCATGGGCTTGCAGAACAGGCATTATTACTCTGGAGATCCTTGGTGAGGTGTAGGAATACCTACTATGTCAGGAATAGGGAAACTTGACTTCTGTGCTGTCTCTGGTTTCTGAATTCCTCTAGGTCATAAGCTCTGAAACTTGAAATCTCTAACACACTTAAGAGAGCCACCCAAAATCATGCGTCAAGTAAGCATCAGAATGAAGAAATAAAAAAAAGTCCTGGATCACACTCCCATGGTTTTCTACTTGAGTCTTTTGCAAAACTTTGAAACTCATAGGACTAATGAAATAGTGCTATGCCCCCACTTTTGTAAACAGATTAAGAAATTAAAATTCTCATATTAATTGAGGTATCATAGTTGATAAAGCAAGATAGAATCAGGATGGCTGTGAACTGATGTTCCAAGTTAGACCCAGGAAAGCCTTTCACCAAATATGTGCTTGAGAACAAAGAGTGGCTCCACTGCAGGCAATGGAACTATCCAGAGGGCACAAACTAAGGATATACATTAGTGCTTTGCTTGACCCAAGCCGTAAGATCTAGTCTTAAGGCTGCAGAGTTAAGGGGAGTTTTCCAGCTGTCTTTAATAGGTTCAAACCCATTTCAGCTGAAGACTGTGTTTCATATTGGCGGTTCAGTTATCTGCATGACTTAATGTGCAAACATTTACCTGCATGATGTATGCAAGTTCTATAGAATCAGGAGTGAACTTTGCAAAAAAATTATTCTCTCACTGAGTCACTGAATCCACTACAAGGACACTAGCTTTTTTGATGGAAAGTAAGAACATCAGATCATAGAATGGTTTGAGTTGAAAAGGACCTTAAAATCATCTATTTCCAACCTCCCGCCTTTGGCAGGGACACCTTCCACTAGGCAGGTTGTTCAAAGCTCCATCCAGCCAGGCCTTAAACACTTCCAGGGTTGGGGCATCCACAAGTTCTCTAGGCCACCTGTGCCAGTGTCTGGCCACCCTCACAGTAAAGTAAAGAATTTCTTCATAATAACAATCCTAAACATGACCTCTTTCACTTTAGAATCATAACCCCTTGTCCTGTCACTGCCCTCTTCATCTTTCCTGTAATTCCCTGTTAGGAACTCTGCATGCTCTGGTGAAATTAGTGCAGTGCTATGGAAGGGGAAAAAAGTGTATTGAAAAGAGGAATTCACTGGAGATGTATCCAGACCAAATTCTTTTAAAGCAAGACCTGTGTATCCTCAGGCAGGAGGTTGAAAGGCACCCAGAACTGTCAGCCTACAGCAGACAGTCTTAGCACAGCTGGCAGGGCCCCAGCATCTTTGTCAAGAAATCATTGTCAGAAGAATGAGGTATCATGTCTAACAAGTCCCTTGAAAGCAAAACCAGTCTTGCTTTGAGGTCTCTATCAAAAAGCCACAAAAGAACTGGCACAAAATTTCCTGTTCAGCCCAGGGTGACCTGGTGGTAGCAAAGCCTGAATACAGCAGGTGAAAGGATGGGAATGCTTTTACAGTGGTACAAGACACAGGATGGTGCACATCACATATTTTCTTTAAATTTGTATGAAAGCCTTATATCAAGAGGAAAGATATACAATCATCACTGATAGAGTTTGCAAACGATATTTAATGTGCCAAATAACAGATAAGTCTGGTCGTCTTAATGGTGAAATAAACTGTGCTTACTTAGTTCATGCTTTAGATAGTTTTTTGGGGTCTTTTTCATTTTGAAGGAATAGGATTTTTTAACAACTCTGTAAAGCATAAAACTTGTATTAACAACAGTGACCCTGAGAAGAATTAGGGATGGAAAGCAAGCGTCTTCTATCTAGAACAATATGGTGCTTAAGACAGCTGATGAGGAGCCTGGATACATATACAGGAAAGGCATCATGTCCTTCAAAGTATCTGAGGTTGTTCCCACAACACTTTCATGCTTTAATACTTGTTTTATATTAATATTTGAAATGAGATATTGTCAGGTTAGAGACTGTGCAGAGATGGGTGGCATGAATGAAAATAAATTTGTGCTACAGAACTGAAGATGAAAACTGCTATATTCAGCTGAGAAAAGTTGTAAACTGACTAAATACTCTGTAAACACGGACAAGAGGAAGAGCAGGATGATAAAGTACTGTTATCTACCATGCCAGAAGCAAAGGGTGTGAAAGGATATTTACTGATTTTTTTCAATGAAAATACGACTATCATTAAAATAAATTTTTAAAATGTAGTGATTATATCAGAAAAAAAACCAAACCCAAAAGCCAGGTGTTTAGTCGGACAATTGAATGCTTAGGAACTTTTCATCAATTATGTCTTTCTTACTAAAGAATTATCAAACCTGCACAGACTTCAGCTTTAGCATATCCTCCAGGGAGGGCATGGAATTCTGTTGTGAGGTACTTTAATTTTTTTTGCTCCTGCTGAATTCTTTGGGTCACATAAGTTATTATTAGTATGCAGCAATACATAGTGCATAGGAAAAAATGGAAATTTTTCTTGCCACCATTGAAAAGCATATAACTCTGTATTTAACTTACTCTTTAAAAAAAAGTCCCAAATTATTCAGCTTATTTTTTCAGTCTCTAAACCTTATAATTATAGGCTAAATTTCCTGCAGACGATGATATGTCTCTGACAGGAATGAGTTTCAAATTGCTTGGCAGTATCTGTAATGAAGTACTTTAAATGAAGGTAGAGCCACAGGTGGATAGTGTTTTCTGAAAAGAGGTTGTAGCAGCAAGAGAAAACAGAGTATGTGATTAGAACTCTGAAGTTTATCACTTCTTGGGAAAGTGAACATTTAAAAGTGATCATATACTCTACTATAATTTATCAGGTCAAAGTCAGAACAGTTCCACAGGAGTAATAGCAGGGTTTTGACTGGAGAAGAATTTTTTCTTTTGGTGGAGGAGAAAGAGATGTTGTAATGGGATCCAGCTCCAGCTAAGGTCTCAATGTTAAGAGGTTTTGATCCTGGTAGTGGCCAAGCACTTTTGGTTATCTTTCAGTGCACACCACAGCACTAACAGTGAGTATGCAAAGATCTGGCAAAAGCTCCATTTGCTATTAACACCTAATGCACTACCCAGCAATGTTTCAGCCCCCTGATAGCAGACAGGATTTTGCATTTCTGCCCCACCTAAAAATCACTTAGCTGGATAATACTGTCTACAGCTTAGCTATCAATATTTGTATTCCATCAGAAAGGAATTTCTTTTAATCATAATGATTCCAAGGAATGCAAAGTTCTGGACTCAGGAATTTACCCAGGTCAGTGCTCTACAAAACCAAACATTTTCTCATTGCCAGCTGGAAAAAATTTCACAGATTTCTTTGAGTATTACAAAATAACTGCATTTGCACTGAGCAGGCTTTCCCCCCTCCACCTAGACTTGAATTGCACAACATAAAGGCAGCATAAAATATTTGCTCTCTGAATCCACATAAAGAACTTCAGCTTTCTCTGGAAACTTAGAGCTCTTTGGAAGCCAAACATTCCACAATGGTAAGTCAAAGGTTTAGATTGGGTTTGGGGTTTTTTGTAATGGGGATTCAGATAGGTATTTACTTTAAAACAGGAAGACACTTCTGTGAAGATTACTGTGAATTGTATTCTTTGCATTGTAATTTTTTGCAAGAAGCTGTACAGATCTCTTAGTCTTTCACTGGCTGTTATCCTTTCCTCAGAAATATTTGTGAAAACATTCAGAGTTTTGCAACCATTCAGGACCATGCTTTTAAAACTTGTAAATCTGAAGTACAGTTTAAAATATTGTCATTTTACAAAGAAAAAAAGTGTGCATATGTTATCCATGTATTTTTTCTGTTCTTCACTTTTGATTCCTCAAATTTTGTCCTGTTCTAGCTCTTCAAGCCTCCAAAGGTGTTTGCAGAATCTAAATCAACAGTTAGGTAATGATAAATAGACTGACAGATCTAAATCAACAGTTAGGTAATGATAAATAGACTGACAGAGTCCTACGGCCTGATTCTCCTGTAATTTGTGCTCACATATTCCCAAAGGCACAGACATCAAGAAGAACCTTTGATGAGCATCTCAGGAATAGCATAGGTTCTACAGAGCAGGCAGCAGTTTCTATAATAGATGCTGATTCCTAAACGGGAGAAATTACCATTTGCTTCTTTCTCTGTTTAAGCTTTATTGCCAAGTTTCTGATACTTAGCTGACAAATTATTTGCTTGTTGCTGCATAAAGTACATTCAGACTCCTCACTGAACACCACAGACTTCCCCTTATGTTTCTCTTTAGTTTTGGTGGAAGGTTCTAAACTTTGATCTTTAGTGAGAAGAGCATGCCCAAGCTCATGTGACTGGCTTTTCCAGGAGTAGCACGATAACGAAAATGTTGGAGGGAAAAAGGGATAAAATATTAACAGAAGACAGCACAACACATGAGGGATTTTTGTATTTTCTATAAAGACTTGAGTTACATGGCATGGGGTATCTCTGTTGTTGCAAACACCTGATCCAGGCACCATGGAATAAAACATTTTAGGAGTTTGAGTCTTTAACTTCTTTAATTCTGGCCTTGGTGCTCAGCATGACCACTGTCTGTGTTATAGCCTAAAGCCTCAGGAACTCCACATCATAGAACCACAATGAAAATGAAGCATTACACCCTTCCCATAAACCCTCTTCTTCCTTCCTTTCATTATTTCTTAAATATCACTCAGTCCCATAACGAAGCAGGACATCAAGGATTAAAATATCAAGTTTTTTCCACAGCAGACAGAGGAGTTTCTTGGCTCACCTTCTTCCTGAGACTCATAACCTTTCAATGTCTTATGGCATTGTGATTCAAGTAAACCAAGCCTTTCACTGCTACTTTAAACCCAGTTTCAAACAGCAACAGTCTCACCAATATCTTCCGAAATTCAGAACAGTAACTTGGAAATATCTACTCATTTCAAGTCCTTTCCTGTTAGTCTGCAAGTGCTATTAAGAAAATTTAAATAATTTCCTCCACTGCTCCTCAGTCTCTGGCTATTCTAAAACTTTTTCTTTAAGTTATTCAGCTGGAGCAACCCATCAAAATAAACCTGTGCTCTCTCCTGCTTCTCTAGTCCCTCTACTCCAGTAAAACAACCATTACAAAGTCATGCAGGCTTTTTCAAAAAAGTTCTGGATGTTCAGCAGGCCCCAGGGGACATATCTGAAGGCTTCTTGCTGATGCTTAGCTGTTGTCCCCACTAGAAAAAAGGAGGTGTGTCCTGTGTCAAGTCCCAGCCTGTGTCTGCATGGATGGCTCAGGTGATGCTAAGTACAATGTACAGCACTCGAATTTTGCCTAAAGACACACATTTATCTCTCTCTTCCCTGACCAGCTACCTGTGTCAAAAAACCTACTGGAATAGATTTAGATCTGAGATCTCCTCTCCATTGCAAAATGTGAAGCAATTGCTGTACCCAGAAGTGAAGAAATGGGATGCTCAACAAAGATTTTCTAGAGAAATAGCTAAAGCTGACTCAAAGGCAATAAATAAAGCACTGACAAGAGTTTGGCAGGGCTTTCAAGTTTATAATACTATTGAAGTTTTGTGTGATTTCTAGAGACTATTTTGGCAGGGAGTGATGCTGCTGACACGGTAATATCATGCCATTTTTTATCTTCCCACCTAAATGAAAAATGCGGGTTGTACTGCATTTTAGTGCAAGTAATAGTACACTCAAGTGTACTTTTCCACTATTTTCATGTACACATAAGGTTACTTCTAATTTTGCATCAGGTTCAATGACATCTTTTGAAAAGAGAGCTAATCAATGTGGATTAAAATGCATGGCACGAGCTCTGTGTTTCTTTTACAGAAGAGCTTTCTGGCTTTCCTTATCGCAATGGGCATCATAGTGACCCTGAGCGATGCAGTCTGCTGGAGGAAAATGCACAAGCCAGAGGAGGACAAAAATGGTAAGAGCAAGGAAGGTCCTCTAACCTGATGGCTCTGTGATAACTTGGCCCTATGTGGAGCTGCCAGGAAGGGCTCAAAACACAAGGGAGGGGGAAGACATTGGAAAAACACAAACGGGGGGGCTCCAGCAGCAAATTGCTAAAAGTAGGGGAAAAAGAAAGTCTTCCCCTGGGCTGCGTGTGGTTGCAGTAATGTTATTGCAATTGGTGGTAGGTTGCTACTGCTACTCCAGCACACGGAGCTCATTCAGGAGATGACACCTCCTTTTTAGGTGGAGGCCTAAGGAACATGTTCTGGTTTGCTACTGTCTTATGCAGGCTGCATGATAAATGGAAAAGTGTATCCCTTTGGACACATTGAGAGGACAGAAGATTGCTACACATGCAACTGCAGCGAAGATGGAGTGGAATGCTGTTCCCTGTAAGTTTGAACTTCTTGGTCCCATCATTGCCTGTAGGATGACCACAGCTTTCCATTGCTGGGGATAAATGGGTTTGTAAGGCATGAGAGAGCCTTTTCTCACCCGTCACAGAATTAGTGAAAGCCGCATATGGCTCTTGATTGTTTGGATCCTTAGCTGTGTTTGCCTTAGCTCATTTTCTGCTGACTGAGAATGGACACAAGCCTTTCCAGGCACATCCAGCTGGTGTTTGCCTTAAATTTTTAAGGAACTTGTGAACCTCTTTCACTGCAGCTGTCTTTCATTAGCTGAGAAAGTGGGGGTAGGGAGGAGTGAGTTAAGTAAAGTTTCCCTAAAGAGCTTATGATGATCTGGATCCCTTTCCTGAAATGTTTTTCTCCAGTGAATATGCCAAACATAGAATGACAAGGCTTTGCTCTGAAGTATTTCTCCAGCATTCTCCTTTCCTCCTCCTACTTTCTCAAAGGCCGAAAATACCTCAGTGATGATCCTTGTCTTAATTTAAGTGGCCCGGTCTATCAGGGAGCAGCCACCACATCCTATGCAAACTGGAAGTAATGAAAAACTAAAGGAAAAAAGAGAAAAGATGCCAAGCCCATGCTTATGTCACTGCAGAGTGCTGTACTAGAAATGCCTTTGCTAGTGATGAGCATCCTGGAACATCTTCACGGTGCAGTACACAAGGCATCATTTGAGGCTCTGGAAGCTGCAGCTGTGTGCTACTCAAGCTAGCTCAGCTGGCCTTAGCCATAGTTTCAGACCTCTCTTGCTCAGCAGTAGTTCAAGCTATAATCACTGAAGTATTGAAACTTTTATTGCTCTCAAGCTAACATTTGCTTTCTCTTTGCCAATGACAGCGCTCACACTCCAGTCGCTTTCGACGAAAAGAAATGTAAAGTTGTTTTCAACAAGGAGCGCTGTGACTATGATGTGGTGCAGAAGGACGACCCCTCAAAGGAGTGTTTTGTCTATTCCCGTGTGGGCTAACACCTGCTCCAAACCTCTGCACTGAGGAATTCCTCTCCTTCCTTCAGATGCTTTGCCATCACAGAGAAGCATGATGACACAGGAAAATCTCATAAAAGTGAGCACTTCAGTAGCTCATTTTTAACCTCCTAATTGTCCTAATTCAGCATACAAAATGCATAATCAGATAGAATGTGTCATTCTGTCATTACTGCATTTGTTGACTATAATAAATTGCGATGAAACATCCATAAATGCTTCATATTGATGTTTTGTTTTCTGCAGTGACATGGGAAATGATACTTTCTTTGGGAAAGAAATGCATTTGGCTCTCTACCCTGACACACTGTGCACCAGTACCCTGGCAGAAGCCACTGTTATGCTTTACAGGTTCCCTTCTAGCCAGTTGTCAAAATCCATTATCATTCTAAAGTGATGCACTATTTGGGACATGCAGAACAACGGCTCCAATTTAGGATGCATGGACTTTCGGTAAGACCTGTGCTGCTAACACGTCAGAAAAGTAAGTGAGGATGAGAGATCATCATCCTCTTTCTCCCATTTTCCCCTTATTTTCATCAATGTCGTCATCCAACATTGGCAGTGACTGTTCATGTCCATTGCCCACTCTGACTAGACCTGAAGTAAAGCAATGTTAAACTTTAAATTCTGGCACTCTGGCTTGTCCTCTGCCAAGCCCTGATCCTGAAAGTCTGCACACACTGTGCTGCTTTAGTGGCTCTCGTACACTCTGAAAAAGAGATCTAGATCAGCCCCTGGAGACACGTTTCCTCATGGCAGCAGAGTTTGAGGTACTAATAATGCAGGTATCTTCTGCCTCTTCAGTACAACTATTCCCCACATCCACAGGGGAATGAAGTTCAGCTACAAAGCAGGGCTTGGAAATCAAATCTCCCACCTGGCCATGCCTAGTGTCCTAAATCTGCCCACATATATGAGACCAGACAAAAAAACCCTGTTAAATGCTGCCTCTACATTTATTCAGCAGGGATATTTCCTTCACAAGACAATCTAGCTCAAGCTCTGTGAGCCATTATTAAAATCAGAAAGATTTATCGTGGTGTATTTCCTCTGGCTTTGGTAATTGGCTTATGAACTTTTTTCAAAGGTTTCTAAGACCTGCAAGTATCACACCTTGGTTTGGGGGGAAAATCCAGGTATTTTGCAGGCATTGGTATTGCATACATCACCTTTGTAAGTTCTCTGTACTGCAGGCTGGATATCAGTCAATAGCTCGGTGTTACTGTACAACTGGTTCATGCTAAGATGAAAAATGTGAGGGGCCAGAATAAAGAGTCAGCTCAGCTTTGTCCAGTATAGACATTCACATATGCCATTTTAAAATCTTGACTCCCATTCACTGATTCCATCCTATCGCTCCACTGAATGGAGCATGTGAAAACAAACATTCTCACGTTGCCTAATGTTCTAGGGTGAGTTTTGCCTGAACGGTTTTTGTGTTCTGCAGGAGAGGAACAGTTTTGAAACTTGTCCTGACTGACTTTTCTGCTTTTGTGCTTCATGTAAAAATTACACATAACACAGCCTCAGCTGATGCACCTGAAGGAATGTTCCTGCTTAGAGAAAAAACAGCCACAGCTTCTAAGAGAAGTAATATTTTTAGCATGGAGAAGACTTCCTACATAAGTAGCTCACAGAACTGCTCCTTGAGAAAATATGGCTTTCAGAATTTATGGGTTTATTACAATTTCATTTCTAAAAATAAAGACTATAATGAGTAACAAAACTAGGAGTTTCCTAATGGATTACTTTTTAATTTGAAGCATTGAGATGTACAGACATCAAGATTAATACCCAGCTTGTTGTAGCCTGGAACTGTGTCATATGAAACTGAAGTATTTCAGAATTCCAGATTTTTTCACTAGCAAAGAGTCACAATTTAAGTGACAAAAGATTCCTCCTAAAATTTATGAAAATTAGTTTATTACCTCATATCTCATTTCAGTGGAGATGAGAGATGTTGTAATGGGATCCAGCTCCAGCTAAGGTCTCAATGTTAAGAGGTTTTGATCCTGGTAGTGGCCAAGCACCTTTGGTTATCTTTCAGTGCACACCACAGCACTAACAGTGAGTATGCAAAGATCTGGCAAAAGCTCCATTTGCTATTAACACCTAATGCACTACCCAGCATGTTCCAGCCCCCTGATAGCAGACAGGATTTTGCATTTCTGCCCCACCTAAAAATCACTTAGCTGGATAATACTGTCTACAGCTTAGCTATCAATATTTGTATTCCATCAGAAAGGCATTTCTTTTAATCATAATGATTCCAAGGAATGCAAAGTTCTGGACTCAGGAATTTACCCAGGTCAGTGCTCTACAAAACCAAACATTTTCTCATTGCCAGCTGGAAAAAATTTCACAGATTTCTTTGAGTATTACAAAATAACTGCATTTGCACTGAGCAGGCTTTCCCCCCTCCACCTAGACTTGAATTGCACAACATAAAGGCAGCATAAAATATTTGCTCTCTGATTCCACATAAAGAACTTCAGCTTTCTCTGGAAACTTAGAGCTCTTTGGAAGACAAACACCCCACAATGGTAAGTCAAAGGTTTAGATTGGGTTTGGGGTTTTTTGTAATGAGGATTCAGATAGGTATTTGCTTTAAAACGGCAACATTTAAGAGAATCATCTAGTTACACATTTTAAATGTGGGTATACTGTATTTCAAACCTGTAAGATGCAAAGACAGGAAGACACCTGTGTGACGATTACTGTGAATTGTATTCTTTGCATTGTAATTCTTTGCAAGAAACTGTACAGATAGCTCTTAATCTTTCATTTGCTGTTACCATTTCCTCAGAAATGTTTGTGAGTTTTTCAAACATTCAGGACCATGCTTTTAAAACTTGTAAATCTGAAGTACAGTTTAAAATATTGTCATTTTACAATGAAAAAAAGTGTGTATATGTTATGTATGTAATTTTTTCTGTTCTTAAGTTTTGATTCCTCAAATTTTGTCCTGTTCTAGCTCTTCAAGCCTCCAAAGGTGTTTGCAGAATCTAAATCAACAGTTAGGTAATGATAAATAGACTGACAGAGTCCTATGGCCTGATTCTCCTGTAATTTGTGCTCACATATTCCCAAAGGCACAGACATCAAGAGGAACCTTTGATGAGCATTTCAGGAATGGCATAGGTTCTACAGAGCAGGCAGCAGTTTCTATAATAGATGTTGATTCCTAAACAGGGGAGAAATTACCATTTGCTTCTTTCTCTCTACAGAAGAGCTTTCTGGCTTTCCTTGTTGCAATGGGCATCACAGTGACCCTGAGCGATGCAGGCTGCAAAGCTTCACTTCGAGAACCAGGGTGGCCCTACAGAGGTAGAAACAAGGAAGATCCTCTGACCTGATTGCTCTGTGGTAACTTGCCAGGAAGGGCTCAAAATAGAGGAAGGGAGGGGGAAGCCATTGGAAAAAAAACACAAATAGGGAACTCCAGCAGCAATATGCCAAAAGAGGGGAAAAAGAAATTCTTCCCCTGGGCTGCATGTGGTTGCAGTAATGTTATTGCAATTGGTGGTAGGTTGCTACTGCTATTCCAGCACATGGAGCTCATTCAGGAGTTGATAGAGTAAAACCCAATTCCTTGTACTTTATTATTGCCTGGAATTAGATTTTCAGAAAAGCTGAAATAATTTTTAAACTCTTCCGCGTTTAGGTGCAGTCTTAAAGAACCTGTTCTGTTTTCCTGCTATCTTATGCAGGCTGTATGAGAAATGGAAAAGTGTATCCCCTTGGATATATTGAGAGGACAGAAGATTGCTTCCACTGCTACTGCGATGAAAGTGGAATGGAATGCTGTTCCCTGTAAGTTTGAACTTCTTGGTATCATCATTGCCTGTAGGATGAGCACAGCTTTCCATTGCTGGGGATAAAAGGCAGAGAGCCTTTTCTCACCCATGTCACAGAACTAGTGAAAGCTCTCAAGGTAACATTTGCCTTCTCTTTGCCACCAACAGCTCTTTTAAAACCATTTTTTATAAGAAAAATGAATGTAAACTGCTGTTCAACAAGGAGCGCTGTGACTATGATGTGGTGCAGAAGGATGACCCCTCAACGCCGTGTCGTTCTGACTATGCTCGTATGGGCTAACACCTGCTCCAAACCTCTGCGCTGAGGAATTCCTCTCCTTCCTTCGGGTGCTTTGCCATCACAGAGAAGCATAATGACACAGGAAAATCTCATAAAAGTGAGCACTTCAGTAGCTTGTTTTTAACCTCCTAATTGTCCTAATTCAGCATACAAAATGCATAATCAGATAGAATGTGTCATTCTGTCATTACTGCATTTGTTGACTATAATAAATTGCGATGAAACATCCATAAATGCTTCATATTGATGTTTTGTTTTCTGCAGTGACATGGGAAATGATACTTTCTTTGGGAAAGAAATGCATTTGGCTCTCTACCCTGACACACTGTGCACCAGTACCCTGGCAGAAGCCACTGTTATGCTTTACAGGTTCCCTTCTAGCCAGTTGTCAAAATCCATTATCATTCTGAAGTGATGCACTATTTGGGAAATGCAGAACAACGGCTCCAATTTAGGATGCATGGACTTTCGGTAAGACCTGTGCTGCTAACACGTCAGAAAAGTAAGTGAGGATGAGAGATCATCATCCTCTTTCTCCCATTTTTCCCTTATTTTCATCAATGTCGTCATCCAACATTGGCAGTGACTGTTCATGTCCATTGCCCACTCTGACTAGACCTGAAGTAAAGCAATGTTAAACTTTAAATTCTGGCACTCTGGCTTGTCCTCTGCCAAGCCCTGATCCTGAAAGTCTGCACACACTGTGCTGCTTTAGTGGCTCTTGTACACTCTGAAAAAGAGATCTAGATCAGCCCCTGGAGACACGTTTCCTCATGGCAGCAGAGTTTGAGGTACTAATAATGCAGGTATCTTCTGCCTCTTCAGTACAACTATTCCCCACATCCACAGGGGAATGAAGTTCAGCTACAAAGCAGGGCTTGGAAATCAAATCTCCCACCTGGCCATGCCTAGTGTCCTAAATCTGCCCACATATATAAGACCAGACAAAAAAACCCTGTTAAATGCTGCCTCTACATTTATTCAGCAGGGATATTTCCTTTACAAGACAATCTAGCTCAAGCTCTGTGAGCCATTATTAAAATCAGAAAGATTTATCGTGGTGTATTTCCTCTGGCTTTGGTAATTGGCTTATGAACTTTTTTCAAAGGTTTCTAAGACCTGCAAGTATCACACCTTGGTTTGGGGGGAAAATCCAGGTATTTTGCAGGCATTGGTATTGCATACATCACCTTTGTAAGTTCTCTGTACTGCAGGCTGGATATCAGTCAATAGCTCGGTGTTACTGTACAACTGGTTCATGTAAAGATGAAAAATGTGAGGGGCCAGAATAAAGAGTCAGCTCAGCTTTGTCCAGTATAGACATTCACATATGCCATTTTAAAATCTTGACTCCCATTCACTGATTCCATCCTATCGCTCCACTGAATGGAGCATGTGAAAACAAACATTCTCACGTTGCCTAATGTTCTAGGGTGAGTTTTGCCTGAACGGTTTTTGTGTTCTGCAGGAGAGGAACAGTTTTGAAACTTATCCTGACTGATTTTTCTGCTTTTGTGCTTCATGTAAAAATTACACATAACACAGCCTCAGCTGATGCACCTGAAGGAATGTTCCTGCTTAGAGAAAAAACAGCCACAGCTTCTAAGAGAAGTAATATTTTTAGCATGGAGAAGACTTCCTACTTAAGTAGCTCACAGAACTGCTCCTTGAGAAAATATGGCTTTCAGAATTTATGGGTTTATTACAATTTCATTTCTAAAAATAAAGACTATAATGAGTAACAAAACTAGGAGTTTCCTAATGGATTACTTTTTAATTTGAAGCATTGAGATGTACAGACATCAAGATTAATACCCAGCTTGTTGTAGCCTGGAACTGTGTCATATGAAACTGAAGTATTTCAGAATTCCAGATTTTTTCACTAGCAAAGAGTCACAATTTAAGTGACAAAAGATTCCTCCTAAAATTTATGAAAATTAGTTTATTACCTCATATCTCATTTCAGTGGAGATGAGAGATGTTGTAATGGGATCCAGCTCCAGCTAAGGTCTCAATGTTAAGAGGTTTTGATCCTGGTAGTGGCCAAGCACCTTTGGTTATCTTTCAGTGCACACCACAGCACTAACAGTGAGTATGCAAAGATCTGGCAAAAGCTCCATTTGCTATTAACACCTAATGCACTACCCAGCATGTTCCAGCCCCCTGATAGCAGACAGGATTTTGCATTTCTGCCCCACCTAAAAATCACTTAGCTGGATAATACTGTCTACAGCTTAGCTATCAATATTTGTATTCCATCAGAAAGGCATTTCTTTTAATCATAATGATTCCAAGGAATGCAAAGTTCTGGACTCAGGAATTTACCCAGGTCAGTGCTCTACAAAACCAAACATTTTCTCATTGCCAGCTGGAAAAAATTTCACAGATTTCTTTGAGTATTACAAAATAACTGCATTTGCACTGAGCAGGCTTTCCCCCCTCCACCTAGACTTGAATTGCACAACATAAAGGCAGCATAAAATATTTGCTCTCTGATTCCACATAAAGAACTTCAGCTTTCTCTGGAAACTTAGAGCTCTTTGGAAGACAAACACCCCACAATGGTAAGTCAAAGGTTTAGATTGGGTTTGGGGTTTTTTGTAATGAGGATTCAGATAGGTATTTGCTTTAAAACGGCAACATTTAAGAGAATCATCTAGTTACACATTTTAAATGTGGGTATACTGTATTTCAAACCTGTAAGATGCAAAGACAGGAAGACACCTGTGTGACGATTACTGTGAATTGTATTCTTTGCATTGTAATTCTTTGCAAGAAACTGTACAGATAGCTCTTAATCTTTCATTTGCTGTTACCATTTCCTCAGAAATGTTTGTGAGTTTTTCAAACATTCAGGACCATGCTTTTAAAACTTGTAAATCTGAAGTACAGTTTAAAATATTGTCATTTTACAATGAAAAAAAGTGTGTATATGTTATGTATGTAATTTTTTCTGTTCTTAAGTTTTGATTCCTCAAATTTTGTCCTGTTCTAGCTCTTCAAGCCTCCAAAGGTGTTTGCAGAATCTAAATCAACAGTTAGGTAATGATAAATAGACTGACAGAGTCCTATGGCCTGATTCTCCTGTAATTTGTGCTCACATATTCCCAAAGGCACAGACATCAAGAGGAACCTTTGATGAGCATTTCAGGAATGGCATAGGTTCTACAGAGCAGGCAGCAGTTTCTATAATAGATGTTGATTCCTAAACAGGGGAGAAATTACCATTTGCTTCTTTCTCTCTACAGAAGAGCTTTCTGGCTTTCCTTGTTGCAATGGGCATCACAGTGACCCTGAGCGATGCAGACTGCGATGCTTCACTTCGAAAACCAGGGTGGCCCTACAGAGGTAGAAACAAGGAAGATCCTCTGACCTGATTGCTCTGTGGTAACTTGCCAGGAAGGGCTCAAAATAGAGGAAGGGAGGGGGAAGCCATTGGAAAAAAACACAAATAGGGAACTCCAGCAGCAATATGCCAAAAGTAGGGGAAAAAGAAATTCTTCCCCTGGGCTGCATGTGGTTGCAGTAATGTTATTGCAATTGGTGGTAGGTTGCTACTGCTATTCCAGCACATGGAGCTCATTCAGGAGTTGATAGAGTAAAACCCAATTCCTTGTACTTTATTATTGCCTGGAATTAGATTTTCAGAAAAGCTGAAATAATTTTTAAACTCTTCCGCGTTTAGGTGGAGGCTTAAAGAACCTGTTCTGTTTTCCTGCTGTCTTATGCAGGCTGTTTGAGGGATGGAAAAGTGTATCCCTTTGGACACATTGAGAGGACAGAAGATTGCTACACATGCAACTGCCACGAAAGAGGAATGGAATGCTGTTCCCTGTAAGTTTGAACTTCTTGGTATCATCATTGCCTGTAGGATGAGCACAGCTTTCCATTGCTGGGGATAAAAGGCAGAGAGCCTTTTCTCACCCATGTCACAGAACTAGTGAAAGCTCTCAAGGTAACATTTGCCTTCTCTTTGCCACCAACAGCTCTTTTAGAATCATTTTTTATGACAAAAATGAATGTAAACTGCTGTTCAGGAAGGAGCGCTGTAACTATGATGTGGTGCAGAAGGATGACCCCTCAAAGCCGTGTCGTTCTGGTTATTCTCGTACGGGCTAACACCTGCTCCAAACCTCTGCACTGTGGAATTCCTCTCCTTCCTTCGGGTGCTTTGCCATCACAGAGAAGCATAATGACACAGGAAAATCTCATAAACGAGAGCATTTCTCCAGCTCATTTTTAACCTCCTAATTGTCCCAATTCATTGTACAAGATGCATAATCAGATAGAATGTCACATTTCTAGCAAAAGATCATATTCTTAATTTTACTTGTCAAGACTTTGTCTTATAAGTGATTTACAGATGTTTAGTTAACTTTTAAATTAAGTAGGAGTTTATTCTACTAGTTTCCTTTGTTCAATCTGTATTTAAGGTCCCAAGAATTTCTGTAGAATCTGGTGCCAGTTTTCTTACAGATGACTTTCTCAGTGCAAGAAGATTTTTGATCTGTTGACAGCACCAGTAAAAGTGTAAATGAATGACCAAAAAAAGAAATTTAACACATCCTTTGAATCTCTTGAGAATATATTTTTTATGTTTCTGGGACTGGGAGGAACCAGCACATTTGTGTGATTAGCACATTTTTCCAGAAGTTATCTGTGGGTGGGAAAGTCCATCTTCCACTGCAAGAGCACCTCCTCCACCACTTCTACTTAAAGCAGAATCTGAACAGCTCAGCATAAACAAGAGCTGACACTGGAGAAGAAAGAAAATGAATTCTCATGGGTTTACCAGGCCAAGGAAATGTAGAGCCTTGTCTCATAGGCTCCAGAAAATAGACTGTGTTCACTGAGACCCAGAAATTGCATATAAATGTTTTCAAAAAGATATTTTTTAGTCTCAGTGTGCAATTATATTGGTTTTTCTATTATCATAGTAGCTGCCAATATTGAAATTTCCCTTTTTTTCCCCTCTAAATAAAAGCAATTTAGCAATGAAGCTCGTGAGTCTTTAACCTCCCTTGCTCAGTGGGGAAATGCTCAAGAACATTTGCACAGGTTATTTTTACTGGTTTGGGACTTTTTATTCATGAGATTATCCATGTGCAGGAAAGCAGGCTAATACATCACTCATCCTCTGTTATGAATTTTTTTTATTATTTATGTACCACCAAAAATTAATGAAATGTGTAGGGCAGAAAGAGAGAGGTACTACTTCTGTTTTCCATTCATCACAGCAATGAGACTGAAGAAAAACTTGTTGAATTTTGGTAACTTCCTCAGAAATCCCATCAGAACTTCCTCCCCAAAGGAGAAATATTTTTATGTTGGTAAAACACTGGAGAATAAGTTTTTCCCTTTTTCATACCCACAGGTTATACCATACAAAAGCTCCTTAGAAACAATCCATTATTTTCAGCTTCTAAAATCTTCTAGAATTTAAGATTTTATAGCACTCAAATTCAATCTGTTGACACCTATACAATCAGAGAATCATGGCAATACCACACATGTATTTAATCTGCACCATATTTCACATTTTAAGGATTATAAAAATAAAATGCTAGCTGTCATTTTATGAAAAAAATTACATTAAATTTGTTGCATTTTCTACCCTTTTTCAGGTGGCCATTCCTTTTTGCTTTCTCAAAGAGAGGGAAAACAATTCTCCTAGCTCAAGTTTGCTCTCAGAAAGTGATAAATTACTTTCAAGAAGTATTCTAAGACATTGTGGGGGTTTTAGAGCAGGGTTTCCTGGGATTACATCTTCACACCACTGCATAGTGCATACGTTATTACAAACTAAACAGCCTAAGTACAATTCTGGTGAAACCTGCCAGAGATGCAAGTCACAAAATCTCTCATGGTGTTCTGTTCTATTTCCTGCCCATCTCAATCGGACAGGAAGGGTGTGGGACAAGAAATGGCAGGAAGCAGGATTTTTCACATTACAGAGGAAAACAGAAAAGAAAAAAGAGAAGAGGTCCCAAAAGACAAGATATCCTTTGGATTTGGCTGAAGAATTCTGTGGTTGCCTTCACCATCCCAGTCTGAGTCCTGCTACAATAACTTCCAACCATGGCATTTAGTCTTCATGGAATCAGCAACTTATAGTTCTAAAAATGGAAAAAAGCTCATGCTCTCTAAATAGAACTGAAGTGTAATGTAGGTGGGATATACACAAAATTAACTGAATTTCCCCAGAAATAAATACAAAGGATGCTGAACTAAATAACTCTAGGTATGAAATTGAAGTTAAGCCTTCTTTCATTTTGTGTACACATGGGCAGCTTGTGCTCAAGATGCAAGAGCAGATAATTTGCTACACCTGGAGGACCAAAGGCATGTTCCCAATGCCAGTGTGGCCAGAGCAGTGTCCACTGTTGCACCTTGTAAGATCCAAAAAAGCAGAGGCACTAGTGGACAGAACTACAGCAATGCTTCCAACCTGCCACCCTTCCTACAGCTAATTCCTTAAGTCACGGCTCCACAGAAAGACTTTTTTTACAGACATATGCTCTTTATTTGCTTAATCAGCTGCAGGTAAAGATAAAAAGCTGTGTTTGGAATCACTGTCATTTTTTGAATTTGTGGAATAAACTTTTCTGTCATTTTTCTGGTTCACTGAAGATTTCTAAGACTTTTTTTTTAACTACACTTCTTGAGATGGAAGGTAGAAGTACAGGATATTTAGCTTTTCCCATAAGCTGGAGATACCTTTTTTGCCAAATCTGCCACTCCTATTCATTTTGATTTACTGCCTCTGGACTTTTGTTCTTGCTGGTACCGCATCTGTGGCCATCTCCCACAGTTCTACCCACGCTTCAGAGATGGAGGTCTCCTCATTGCACGCACAGTCAGGTATTTGTGATTGGCCCTATAGATGTTTTTGTCTGTCTCAATGTCCCTTGCTTAGCACTGATCCTTTTTTCTGGGATCATGATCTGACAGGATTTTCCAGGCTAGCTGAGAAATTATCACGTTTTGAAAATGCATTCGCACCAAGATAAAAAATTAGGTGTTTCTCATCCCACTGAAACTGCATTGAATTAAAACTGAAATTGGACTCATGGATGGGGACTTGGCTACACATGGAAGAAGGCAGGTGTGTTCAGATCAGAGAAGAAATTATATTATTTTCTCAAGCTTGGGTCTCCCCATGTTGAATTGAGGTCTCAGTTCAAGTTTCTGCTCTGCCACCTGGGACAGAGCAGGTTACTGTTCTCTTACCCTCCTCTGTTACCTGGGACAAATTGCTCACACTGCCTGTGTACCTTGCTATAAAATTAGAACAATTCTTCGATAATTCCTGTCCTGGGAGAGATCTGAGGGCCTAGGCTTTGAGGTTTGTAGGTATATGAACCTTAGACTTAAGAAAAGTGTTCCCACCAAAATAAAATTTCCTCCTACCACCTTTACAATGTGATCTTGTGTAAACAGTACACTGTATATTCCAGTGTTTGTATGTGCCTTTCCTTAACACAGTTGTCCTTTCTCATACACAAAAGGGACAGACTTTAATAAAGTAAAGCCAATGTACATTATACGTAGCATTATCAGTTTAATGTCAAGAAGAGTTTATTTGTAAAATCATGTTTACTTATGATCTGTGAGCTGAAATGTCTCAAGCGTCCTTTTGTTCTTCCCCTCTAATAGCACTGGATTAAGTGACTGGATACACAAACTGTTGTAATGGGTTCTGCACTTACTCTCCCACACAGAAATCTCACATTCTTGATTCCCCTCAAGAATGTGAGAGTAGTACTGAAATGCTGGTCTAAGAAACAAAGTTCTTGGACTGCTTTCATTTCAGCACACCTCTCCTAGCTTTGAATTGTCCATAGATATTAGCTAGATTATTGGGCTGTTTTAATAACTGCTCTGAAATCATGCTGTATTTCTCTCTGTTGATTGCCTTGCGCTAAAACACACAAGAACAAAATGAGTTGGTCATCTTGCATTACTCGGATTATCTCTGTTGTTATCCAGATGTAACCAGAAACTCCAGCTGAAGAAGGACCAGAGTAAAATAGCAAGGTAAATCTTCAAGAAAGTCTCCAAGATTTCTTTCTGCCTTAGGAAGAAAGAGGATATTCTATCCACCAGAATAAGTGGAAAGGAGGCACAGAAATAGGCAGAGCAATGATTTTCTTAGAATGTTTTTAGTAAGAAATTAACCAGTTGGGAAGCCAACATAAGATTTCAACAAATCTCTGTTAAACAAACCTGTTCCCCACCCACGCAAGGCACCTATCATCCTGTACACGAACAATATGAAGAAATGTGATGTTATGTGGGTCACAAAGGATCCAAATACTCAATACATGAACGGACTATCCTCATAGAGTTTGCTGCTGTGTTTTCAGCACTACAGCATTTTGTTGGGTTCCTTTGAATTCACAGATCATGCAAAAAGGCTTCTTCATTGTCCCTTAACACTGCTCAGGCTAAGGCAGGTCATGCTCTGCTGTGGTCCAAAGAAAACTGTTAGCAAGTTCCCTCCATAGCTTGCATAGTTCTTTGCATATCTTGCACCTAGAAAGCAGGAGGAGGTCCTGCACTGGGAGCAGCTGCGCAGTCTGGAAGGCTGAGAAAGGAAATACACAAGCATGTTGGTTGGATATTTAGTGTTTTCAGAGTTGAGCAGCAAGTGCATCCTTTGTCACTCAACACCAACCCAGAAAGTTGTCTATTCTTTCATTTTGGCTGTGACAAATTCCCTAAGTTTTATTCCAGTACACATGCATCACAAATTTCCGCCTGACTGGTAATTTTTATTCACATATAAGGACTGCTGCAGGGTGCCTGAGACGCAAAATATTACATGTCAAGTATGTAACACACAAGAAGAAAAAAAATTAAATAGCTCAGTAATTTTAACAGAATAAATGCAGTGCAATTTGATGGTCTTTTTTCCCAAAATATCATGGAACATTTGTTCCAGATCGCCTTTGAGGACATAGAGGAGCCAATACCTTGAGCAGGATTCTATGCTACTTCCCACAGTATCATCAGCCAAGAGGAAAGTGTTACTTCTCAATACCTAAAAGTTAGGAAGAGCCAGCGTGCAAAGCTGGGGCACATCCTTAGGCATCTCACAGATGTTCACCAACTAGGCCAGGCAGCACAGGAGCAGGATGTGAGAAGGCAGACAGTGAACTCTCTCCATCTTGACTGCAACCAGCACAAAAGGCAGCTTTGGCCTAGAACCAGGGTGTAGTACTTCACTATGTTGCAGTGCCTTTCTCCTTCTCCTTTAACTGGAAAACGAACATGGTCTGAAACACCAACAGTATCGCAAACCACAATGCTGTTCAATTGGTTTCATACATATTTCTGAGAGATTCAAAGGGGACATGTGGACTGTTGATTTCAAGAAAGAAATTCCCAGGGCTGGACACTGGTTAGGAATCAAGGATATGGTAGTTATCCTCCATTTCAGGGCAGGGCATAAGTCAGCACTGCCAAGTCTAACTTACTACAGACAAGCTGATTGTCGCAGCTTTATCAAAAACCCGCAAGCACTTAATCTCTTTTCTGTCATCCTGAAAAGTGATAGTCTAGTAACCAAAGAAAAACCAATTTACCCAACTTACTGAGTTGAAAGCCAGCCGAGATGTCACTGGAAGTAGTGGTCTCACTGTGACCTGCATTGTACTAATTCTGGCCTTCTCTCATGGACTTCCTGAGCTACCTTTCAACTCTGGAGTTTGAGTAGAAGATGTGGAGTAGCCAACCCAACTTGGAGTTCAGCCTCTACTCCCAAAACCACACAAGAAATCACCACAATTATGCAGTCAGAGTCATTAATTCAGGTATTGCAACCTGTGCAGCTCTGGTAATAAGGGATAAACTTCATCACCAAGAAGAGCCACAAAATTTGAAATACTTGAACCTAGTAGGTGAAAGCTAAGCAAAAGGGATCATACTGGACCTCTTTGCTATCAAATTATTGTCCTTGGAAAGTGTGTCTGCCCCTGACATATCCAGCCTCTGCAGAAAAGGAACAGTTTCTCACCGTTTCTCAACTCCTTCTAGGTTTGAAAAGTGCTTCCTTGTAACTGCCTCCCAACTCTGGTGTGGCACAAAAGCCACACCTGTTTCTCCAGAAATAGGATAACAGGTTTGTCTGTTAGAACAAACCTTTCTTCTTGTGTGTAATTGCCTCATCTTAATGTCCACCCCATGAAGTCATTTCGCAGAAACTTCATTGGTGCTAGCCATCGTGATCAGCTTGCTCAAGGGCTGTTACCACAAATTCCCTCTCTATATAAGGTCTCTGAGAAGATGAGCTTTGTACAGGCCATATCCCTTCTGGAAGTCTCATAATTCTGCAAGAATGGTGAGTCCTTACATCTTTAACTGTAAAATACCATGGTATGTTGCTATAGATTTTAAAGGAGTCTCTGTTGGATTTATCTCAGTACTTGGGACATTAAGAAACTTGGTGAATGTACAAATTTTGTGTTATGAGAGCAAGAGTCAAAGAGAGGCAAAGACAGGTAAGAACTTGAGGTGAAAAGTCTGGATAACATCTGAACACTGCGGAACTGAAAAAAAAGGTATGTTGATTTTTACTCCTTTGACACTCTGTTGCAGTTTTCTGAGTTTTAACCTCACTTCTGAAAAATAAAATTCTAAATTTGTCTCCTCTTATCTCTCAGGAGTGACTTCCTTTTATAAGTCACCAGTCCTACTCTGAAACGACACACTTGCATACAGTATGTGTATGTGATTGTTTATTCCTGGTCTACCTTCCTTCTCTTACCCTTCAAACATTTCAAACTAATACTGAAACTTCAGCTGAATTTTCAGAAAAAAACTCACTAACCAAGGTCACAGAATATAGAATTATCTATGTTGTAAGTGATACCTGCAAGTAAGATACAGAGCCAAGGCTTGAGTTCTTAACTTCATCTAACGTTATTTCATTTGTTCCTAATCCTTCAATATTAGGGTGAAACATTCTGTAGTTCTTCAGACTGCAGTAAAAAAGTTTTGCAACCGTGAGGTTAGTGGAAAAAAACAGTTGGGGACTGAGCCTATAGAGAAAAAAAGACTAGAAAATTTAATGGGTAATGGAAAGGAATAGAACATGCATTTTTCACAAGTAGTAGCTGGGTCTAGCAGTCAATGCTTGCTTTTAACAACTTGGAAAGACAGACATTTTTTCCCCTCCCATGTGATGCTCTGCATCTGCTTCTTCAAAATGGTTCCATATTGTTCCTGATAAGTGTGTTAAAGCATCTAAACAGCAAAAGACAACTGGATTTAAATTTGAACCCACAATGTATTTTCCTGTTATTTACCACCAAGACATCTTAATAGTTACTGAAGGATTGATATGAATTCTGTTTTCTTGTTCAGAACACCATCTTGGCCTGCCTTCTTGCTCTTGCCATCAGCATGCCACTGTCCGATGCTTATTGTGTCTTTTCGCCCTTCGAGCCAGGGATGTCTAATGGTGTTGTTGTAGGTAAGAAGTCAACTGCCCTCAGCTTGACAGACATCATCAGAATCACTGCTTGATTTGTCCATTCTGTGCAATTCATCACAATTTAGAAATAAGTGGAAACAGTGGAGAGGAATCAAAGGGAAATGGGAGGGAAATGGGGTTTAGAGAGCAATATGTTATTAAAAGAACAAGTTATTTGGGGAGCTTCACACAGACCAAATTACAAATGATCTTTTTCCAGGGAAGTAGCACAGTTTTGGTTTACTCATCTGCATGAAGTAGTAACTCATATTTTCACAATGGAATCACATCTAGAAATCAGAGAAGGGAGAAGGACCTGTGTGTGTGTGTAGTCAGTATAAAACAGGAAACAGATTTATTACAAAATTCAGATTCAGCACCACGTCTTGTTTTTGTATCCCAAAGCAAATTCCTAAAAGCAGAATGGCTGCATCCCTTGAGTCTGCATCTGCCCTTCCTGAACACAGCTAGTCTGTCAGTCTACAGATGAGTGGAGCTGCAGGAAAAAAGTTCCCAAAAGAGAAGCATGCTATCAACACAACAAGAGTTGATGTGTGCCAATATGCAAAAAAAAAACAAAAACAAAAATAATAAAAAAAAAAACCAAAAACCCAAAAAAAACCACCCTAAGTGGTCTAAAATACAGCTTTACCTGGGAAAGCAGGTGCTACTACGAAAGAAAAGAACATTTATAGGCAAAGACACAACTTAGAAGCCTCACCACTCTCTCTTGTTCTGTTCTCATAAAATTCTGTTTTCCAGATCAGTTATTTAGGAGGTCTATGGTCTATTCTGTGGCTGCTGAACAGGAACTTTACATCCAACATTTGCTTTCTTCATGCAGCCGAGGACTGGGAGAAGTTTTTTGATCAGTTGTAGGCTTGCTTTAAAAGAAGGCATCAACAAGAGATAGTGTTAATAGGAAAGTCAAAGCCTTTTTTAATTCTGGCCAGGTCTGTGTCTAATTGTCTTTCTGCTGGGTTCTTCAAATTCCATACTTGAAGATGAACTACTCCAGGAAGCCCTTTACTGCTAAGAACCTCAGGAGACAGAAGGACACAGGTCTCTCTTTTCCATGCATTGGGGTAGCACACCCTGGTCTGCTGGGGAACCTCTGAGTTTGGCAGATAGGAATGCTAATACAAAAAGCCAGCAAAGATCCCACCCATTTTGTACACACAACAGTTGTTAGTGCAATGGTCTGACACTGAAAGCTGCTCATACACTACATTTTCAGGCTGCCTCGACAAGGAAGGAAATGTCCACGAATTTGATTCCCACTGGAGGACTGAGGACTGCAATGATTGCTCCTGTTCCAAGACTGGAATTAGCTGCTGCGCTAGGTGAGCCCAGAGCAGCAGTGGGATTTTTCCTCTGCTGCCGTGATACAACACAAACCACTTCCCTTCACACAGGAGTTCCTGAGAAATAACAACAATCCTTCTCCCACTCACATCCTATGACAAAGTTATGCATTGATCCAACACCATCTTCACTGAACATGCAACAGAGGTTGTATTTAACAAATAATTCTTGATTTAAAATAAAAGGAGAATTTAATTCTTCTCAGGGCTAAAACATCAGGCAAGTTATTGATTCAAGAGAGAACACTCTTAAGAAATTTCTATTGATCCTAGTCCAGATCTTCCCAAAGCCACACATTGCCTCACTTTCCTCTGAGGAGCAGCTCAAGGTACCTTAGCTGTAATTTTTCCTATAGTGATACTCATGCAATATGAATTCCATACCATGGATGAAGAGAAGAAGCAGTGATATTGGAATAGCAAATAAGCATAACAAACATCCCTTGGGTGTTAATCAGACCAGAAAAATTACAACTCTCCCTTCATCCTGCTTACACAGCAGGCTAAATAACATTCGAGCTAGGACCTTTGTGCAAGTCCCCTTTTCTGCTCCCAAAAGTCTCCTCAGTACAGCCTCTTCATATCAAAGGTGCAGATACCACTTGAAGTGGAAGCTGATTATTTCTTGGTCTCATCACCTCTTTTTCTTTTCCCAACCACAGCTCTATGAACCCAGTTGACTATGATAAAGAGAAATGTGAAAGCATTTTCAACCAGGAGACTTGCTCTTATAAAGTAGTGGAGAAAGACGATCACTCAAAAGAATGTCCTGTCAATTCATGGGTTGGGTAATAGAAGAATGGTGGATTGAGGGAATATTTCCTTTTATTGTTCTGATGGTTCTCTCACAAATTTAAAAACACTTAAAATGCAACTGTTGAGTGAAATCTATTAATAAAGCCCAACATATAATGAAACTGAGTATCTACTTACAAAAATTTCCCTTGGTTTCCCTGCATTATGCTTCACCATGAACAAAGAACTGACCTGTTCCTTCCTTGAGGTCAGACATTAAAGGTGACATTTTAAAGCATTCCTGGTAGCTGCTAATCTATGTTCTTCTCTGGTCATGTTCCAGTGCCAAGGAGCATATTCTATAATCTGTGCAAACCTGTTTCTTAAAGCTAAAATAAAATCAAATAAAGCATCAGAAATTAATGTGATTTATTTTCTTATTTAAGGATGAAAACAAAAAGAATTAAAATTCCAAAAACAATGGGTAAAAATGAAAAGCTACTTGAAAATCTTTTCGGAATGCTCTGTTTTCAGTAACATCTTACATGATTCACTTTTGTCCTCTATGGCTTCCTGGAGACCAACCTATGGACTTCAAGGTCTACCAGCTTCCCAGTGTAACCCAGTATTATTCTTCTATTACACCGAGAGCATAGCAGACCCAATCATCCACCTGAGCTTTGAGTGAAAAAAAAGAGTCTTTTATTCAGAGTAACCCTTTAAAAAGGAAAGGTTTTTAATTGGGCTATGGGCAGAATTGTGGCTGCATAGAATGACTGCTCTGTACTGGGCTCAGACAGGGAAGCATCTCAGCAAATCCACAGACAGTAACTGAGAAAGAAACACTTGCTAGTATGAACTCTCCTTCAGAGCACAGCTTCATAATCTTTATAGCACATTTATTCAATTTCCACACATGACTATGAACATCCTACATCTCCATGTTCTATTTCAGAAAGTGTGTCAATGCCTCCATAGCTTGTAGTTTCAAATTACAGAATGAGCATATACCTCATGAGCAGTGCCCAGTCCTGCAGTCTGCAGGGTAAAGGCAAACCTCAGCTTGTATTGGCTTTAACTTCATGATTTACCAGGTATCTCCAGAGGTCCCTTTGAATCCTTGCAGCTCTGTGATTCTATCCACATTCAGTGACATTGCTGGGAGACACTGTTCCCACTGCAGCTGGACAGTGAACCTATTTACTACCCTTTGCAAGCCTGTTCTAAGATAAAGCATAATTGAAGGCATCTTCTAATGACACCATGTCTAGCACAGACTCCAACAGTTCAGGGTTGAGGCTAGAGGACTTGAAAATAATTTATGAGGAATTACTCCATCCTGCTGCATTGAAACTGTAGGGTTGCTCTTTCTAATTTTCACCAAAGGAGGTGACACAGAAAGGGGAGCAGTGTGGACAGAGAGAGATGTCTTACCAGGGAAGGCAGGGATAAGACAAGGGGTAAAGGTTTCAAAATAAAGCAGGGTACATTCAGATTAGACAGAAGGGAGAAATTCTTTAGTATGAGGACAGTGAGACACTGGAAAAGGTTGCTCAGAGAACCTGTGGATCCACCATCCTTGGAAGTGTTTTAGGCCAGGTTGGACAAGGCTTTGAGAAATCTGGTTTAGTGGAAGGTGTCCCTGCTCTTTGCAGGAGGGTTGGACTAGATGACCTCTAAAGGTCCCTTCCAACCCAAACCATTCTATAGACGTCTTTCTGTCTGCAACAGACTTCCAGGTGCAGTTTTAAGGCAATTCTATAGAGAGCATCAAGGCATAAGTAAGTTGTGACCAAAGATTTACTTTCCTTTTATAAGGCTGACTAGACATAAGCAAGCACCCAAATTCCAGAAAAGCCAGCCTGAAGCAGCACTCCTACACAATCCAGAGCTATTTAATCACATTTTAAATCCATCCAAGAACCTTTCTCCACCATCTGCCAAGTCCTCTTTGATGTGGATCTACCCTGTTTGCTATGACAAAATAGGAGAGGTTCATTTCCTGCCTAACCCAAAACACCGCATACAGCACTCTGCTCTCTTTTCTGCTCCAAGTTTCAACATGGAAACAGGTGATTTTACCTATTGCATCTAGTTTTGGAACACCAGAAGCACAGCAGGGACCTGGCTCCCTTCTGTAGCAAGGAGTCTAGCTATGGGAAGAGAACAAAACCCTCAAACCTGGAAGATCAGAAACAGAGCATACAAAATTCTGCTTTGAACTTCCCACTTTTGCGAAGTTGTTTTGCCCTGATATTTCTCTATTTCAGCATTCACAGCTACAGTCCCATACAAAGAATACATCCCCCAGCCTCAAAACTTTCAGAACATAACACCGCTAGATTCACAAAGTGGAAAGAAAATACTCACAGGAAAGTTTCCTCCACCATCCTGTCAGTTTAAAGGTTTAGGAGGCTCTGCAGAACCTTGAGGGGCAAATCCCAGGTGGAGCAGAACAGGTTGTGTGCTCTCTTACCCTAAATTTCCCTTTTATCTCCTGAAAGTACACACCTTTCCTGCTAGAAGGAGAGGCAGTTTTGGATAGCTGGCCCTCCTCTTCCAGTAAGTCTTTTTAAGGCAAGCCTTTTAAATATTGGAAAGGTGTTCTTATCTGAGAAATGAAATCTAGTGCTTAGCCTACCAAAGCTTTTAAATCAAACACCAGAACACACATATAAATCTGATGCAAGTTTTCCTATTAATCAATGCTTATCACCTGAAGCTTAATAGCTTTGTACCCATTCATATTTTGTGTCCAATAAGAATTTTGCCCTGATCTTAAAATGAAAATCCAACTTAAACAAGGAAAGCGCATATCTCATTTACATTATGCATATCAAGGAAGCCATAGATTCTCAGTTCACATTCTGCTCTATGCCAATTTTAAAATCTCAGATAAATTCAATTCAACTCTCCTGTTGGTATGCAGGAAAGTTTGCATTAGCACCTTTTCAAAGCCTGAAAGTTTCTATTAAAATCCAATGTTGTGTGCATGTTCCCTTGGTTTATTTAAGGGTGAAACTGATTGGAATTGATTTGCTTTATGAGGGGTATATACATGAAACTGTAAAACACACAAGTCATATGACCAATCTAAAACACACAGCAAGCTTGGGTTACTTTAACCTTCTTCCCCATAACTCAAAATTCTGTTTTCACGTTTTATTTATCTCAGGTCTCAAGCACTGACCCATGCTCTTTACACTTCTCCAGGGCTTCAGTGCTTTTGCACAGCCAATACTTCCAGTAGATCTCCATTAACGATTGCTGATAAACTGCACTGTGCTTTTTGCATAATGTAAAAGCATCAGGAAGTCAATCTTGAATCCGTTGTACAGAGGGAAGACAGTATCACCCAGCACAAGTGGTGGCCAGACTGCTGCTGCAGCACCCCTAATAAATAGCAGACCATCTTCCCACTGAAAAGTGCCAGGTCATACAGGTAGTAGTTTTTGGGAAAATAATAAATTTCATTTGATTTCCCAGGAGCTGCATGAGCATTAGGTGTAGGGTCCTACCTAATGACTCACTCCCATGAGATTAGCTAAATATGGAGTCAGCCAGTTGTCAGAGCCAGCAGGAATATTAGTTTCCCTTATTAACTTCTCTAAAACAGATTGACACGAACCGTTATGAGGTCAGGTCAAATTTCTTTTTGTGCTTTAACCCAATTTTGAGGCCAACCATAATGTCTAGTAATTAAATAATACATTGATGTAGTTTTAAAACACAGGGTAAAGTAATAGACATCCAGCAGATCATGTCTAAAGCCAGTAAAGTATTCAGAAGAAATGTTTTCAATGTGGGCAAGTTGTAATAAAGTTATAGAGTTGACCCTAGTCAGAGCCTCGGTGATATGGAGCCACCATCTCACCACCCCTCTGATTCACGGGGGAATCACAGCCCTGCCTCCAGCTCCAGGCCTTTCCTCAGAAAACACAGGATCCTTCTAATTGTCAAAATCTTCCCAGGACAGAATTGCCTCTTTGGCTTGGCTCCGAGTCCCTGTTTTAGCCAAACCACTACATGATTTGACCAGTTTACTTTGGCAACTGCCCGGACAGATGCAGGAGCAAGACAAACGGGGAAAGGAGGTGCTGGATGTTCCTCTCGTTGCTTCACGGAACTCAAACAGGGGAGGCACATTAACTGTTGCTGTTCCCCCGCAAGCCAGTAAAGGAAGTTGTTTGACTTAAATCAGTGTCTTTAGAACTGGGCTTCAAGCACTTCCAGCACAACTGAGCCCAAGGGAGAAGGTACAGAGGGAAAGCAGCAAACTGACATAGTCGCTGTGTCTTGAGGTACTCAGCCTGCTCCTAGGCTGAGAGAACTTATCCTTCCCTTAAAAGGGGATCTGTGCTTAAGCAGCCCCAGAAAACGACTTAATTTACAACTGCACATCAGAGAATCCTCTCTCCCCCTTGTTTTAATCTTTTGACATGGAAAACCTTGTTTGTCTCAAGAGGAAATGTCCAAGCAGGTCTGCAAGAAGGTGAACAGAGTCAGGCTCAGTCTTTCCTCTGCTCCAGATCCCGCAGACAACTCACTCAATGTTTCAGGCTTCCATAAGCATTTGGGGTTTTATTCTCAATTCATCCAAGATGCTTTAAGCTGTCTTTTTTTTCTTTTTAGGACACAGTGCACACAGAACACTTTAATATACACTTCAGTCTCAGGAGGTAAGGCTAACAGGCACCACTGGAAACAATAGCCTCAGTCACACTTCAGTTTCCTATTTTATTTGTATATTTTTTACATATAAATGTATTTGCCTATCTGAGAAAGACCAAAAATTATATGAAAGTTATTAATACAGATAATTTCTCTCTAAGGAGAGAAGGATAACTAACTAATTAAAAATAATTTTAATTAAGAAAATAATTTGGAACCCACCACACTCTTCAAGTCAGAATTGCTTATTACATTTTCCTGCAATTATATTCTTATTGGAGATATTATCCACTGTAACACTTATTTCTCTTCAAGACACAGCACAAGATTTATCAAGAATTATAGCAGGGACAGAGAAGAAGTATGTCTGGCCTTTTGCTATACTAGACCCTAATCAATTAGTTTCAATTAAAATAAAACCAAATTCACAGTAGTATAAGAGCTTTGTTATGCTTTCACCTTGTTGCCTTTGCTAACAAGTTACTTTGAGCAGATAATTCCCATCAAAGAGAAATTCATTTATTTAAAAACTACCAGAGAGAGTATTTCCTCAAAGCACTTCATTAGACACCACAACCGTTTCTTGCAGCAGAACTGCACACAGAGGGCATGATCTACCAAAATCATAAGGTTAACACAAAACTTGAGAGCTGTACTGCAAAACTAAAAGTAAGGTACTACAGGAGCTCTAAAGTCTCTTGCTAAGTTCATGCAAATAAATAAAGAATGATTCAGATCTCCTGTCACAACAAACAGCAGCCACCTCCTCCTCAACTGTTACTTGACTCCGAATCCCTCAGGAGACCACACTTGTTCTGCCATTTCCCCCTCTGTCCCAAAACCCCTTTCAGTGCAGCTTTGTTTCCTGTAGCTGTTTGTCAATCAGTGGAAGCTAACGAGTTCAGGCATACCAATGAAGTGCCTAATTAAAGCCAGGTGTGCTAAAAGAGCCATGCCATGGAATTAATGCAACTCATTAGGCTGGGAATGTTCGGGCAACTTTGGAAAGTTGTTATGTCTATGTTCCAACGCAGTAAAGCATTGAATCCCTGCAGCCCTAATGTAGCCACAGTGATATGTCCTAATTTTTCTGGCTGGTTCTGAAAGGCAGCCACATATACTGTATGTTTTAACAGCCTAATGTCACAAAGACCTGGACACCTATGGTAAGAGATATATTGAAGGAAATGCCCTCATTTTATTGTTGCAGAAACACACTGCCTTTGGTGTCTGATTCCAGCTGTGTTTGAGGCAGGACATGCATACAGTGAAATAAAACTGTAACTTTTTCTTTCTTTGCCTTCCTCAGTCCTTAGCATTGCTTCTGGACCGAGACAATACACATCTCATCTCATTTTTGCTGCCAAAAAAGTGCTACCTCATCATGCTTATCTGCCTCTATTCCCCAGGTCTGGCTTTGCTTCAAGAGCTGAGAGACACATAGCTACAGCTAGTTCCTGCAAGACTGCTAAATATGGATGTAATATGTCCTGTATAAAATAATTGAAAATATAATAAATCAGGCTGAGAACACTGGACTTTCCACACCACTGCACTGTATGAATTACCTGTCCTGTACCTCCTCACAGCAGGTCAGTCGAACAATAGTGTCCTTTCCCCACTGGTCCTTGATGGCCTGCCAGTTCTGGAGGCACTGCTTTCTGGTGGTCAGATTCTCCACTGACACCCGTGCTGATGCAGAGCAACCAGTGTATCTGCTGGAGTTTCTTCAGATTTACACCAGCACAATGGAGTTCAAGATGCCAAAATATGCCAGTGCACAAAATGAGCCTTTGCAAGACTTTTTGAGGTGCCACCTTCTGATCGATGATCGGAACGGGTTAGAGCGTCCATTGGGAACACATTTACATCCCTTTGCACTGACCATTGTTTCCTCACTGTATATAAATCGACAGTACTCCTCATTATTATATGTGAGCAGCCCATGCAACTATGGTAAGTTATCAGCTTTGTGTGTATGTATGTAATATTTTTACACTGAAGTATTGTTAAATTTGATTTTATTTGGAATAGTAGGACTCATCCATAACTCTGTGCTAGACCTTTGAAAAAAACCACTTAATTTTAATACAATATCCTTGTTTTCTTTCTAGAAATACTTGCTTGTTTTTTCCTTGATCCTTCTCTTCTCAAGAACTCTATGTATTCCTGCTCGCTGTTACCTTAGACCAGCCAGAAAATATGGTAAGAATGGCAAATATATTAGACATCCCTGAAACATTAATTCAGAGATCTAAAGGGGTTTTTTTTCTTAGAAATGTTGGAATACCATAACATACTCTTTGCTGAGCAATGATCTAAACAGCTGCTTACTCAGGAATCAACCCACCCAGAGGTATCTCTGGACTGACAGATTCAATAATTACACTCTGGGCTGATGTATGAGTGAGGTACTTGCCTATGTGGCAAAAGCCCATGAACTTTTAAGTGGCATTGATTAATCTGAAGGGGGCACCTGACACTAAAATCAAAGACAACACAGCTGTTGTTTAAATAATGTTTCATAGCGCACGTTGAAGAAATGGGGAGGAGGAAGGGATGAGAAAATAAAATCAAAACCTGTGTGCTGAATAAAAGAAAGGTCAGAAATATTCTCGTGTTGCCATAAGTGAAGATGTTTTTCAGATGCATTGCAACAGCAGAATAATACACATCTGCTATGTGATTGCAATACTTGATCATGCTGTGTCATACGCTCATGCACACTGCAGGAGCAAAGACAGGTTATCTTTCAGGCAAAGAACAGGTTAGGCTCTTCCCCAGTGTGATTCTACAGAAATCAGTGCTTTGATTTCCACAAATATAAGACTGTGGTCTACATCTATTGATTTACTGACTAGTATTTTCTGGTGTGTTCATTCAGGGTGCGTGTCAGACAGAAACCTCTATGTTTTTGGTGCGGTGTGGAAGAATGAAGATTGTTTCCAGTGCAGGTGTAAGATGGGTGCAATGACCTGCTGTAGCTTGTAAGTTTACCAAAATATTGTTTGTTTATTCAGAAACTGATTGATATATTCAGACTTACAAAATCTCATTCTCATTGAAAGCATATAGTGAAATGTCATACTCATGAGACCAAAACTCCTTTTTCTGTTTCCCAGTTAGCTCTAATCATGGCCAACAGAATAATCAGTCAATCACACATACTTTTTGGGAAAGAAACATAATGAAACACAGGGTGTTCCCAGTACACAGCTCTTCCTAATCACCTAATCCTTCTTTTGAGTCAGGTAGTAATTGGGTGTGTGGTTCCCCTTAGCTTCTGTTTTCTTGTTCCTTCTATTCATCAGCTTGTCTCCAGGTACCTAAGCACCCCACAACACAGGAACCTGTGGGTTTCTGTAGCTCTGCACCAAACACTGACCTGCCTGCAAGCAGATCTATCTATTCAGATATTCTAACATCCTTGCCATTCTGTCAAGAGCCCACATTTTCTCGTTATCAAAACAGGACATATATGCTAATAATTTGCTTTCTTGTACGTTTCTGCCTATGGATAACAGCATCTCACCAAGCAGAGCTGTGTCTTCCAGAATAGTGATGTAAACTGATTATCTCCCTAGGAGACTAGAAAAATCCTCATTTTAAGGGGAGGGAGAAATGTCAGGATCCATCCCCATACAGGCCACCAATTGTTGGCATTGGTGCTTGGCGCCAATCAACTGACCATCAATTTATCATTCCACTGTAAGACTTCCATACCTTATCTCTGAGAGTTCTCACAGGCAGCTTCTCACAGCACTGACTTATTTTCTTTCTTCTGCACAGCTGTCTGACTTCTTCCTTCCCTATCACGACTGCCTAACCCTTTCTGTCCCTAGCAGCACATAGTAACCCTTACTGTCCCTAACATGGAGACCTAACCCTTTCTGTCCCTAGCATGACCACCTAACCCTTGCTCTCACAGCAGCAGCCAACTGACTCCAATTCTCCTCTTCTCCAGCTAACCCACTCTTTTTTAACACCCACCCTTGTTGGACCATCCTTATTGGTCATAGCTGTGATCTATTAAGGGCAGGCCTGCTCCTGCTCTTTGTTAATTAGCACAGCTGCAACTCCTCAGGGGCAAGATTGCCTTCAGCACTATCTGTATTCTCCTACAATCCATCCTCCCACAGAGAAAGAGCCCCATAAACGATTCGTGAGGAAGACTACAATCCACGGAACTTTTGGAGGAAAATATTCCCAGCTTTTCTCAGCCAGAAGAGGGAGGAAGTTGGCCTGTGCTGAGAAGAGGCCCAGCTGGGAGTCATTCATGCTGAAATGATTCAGCACGCTGTAAATTGTTTTTGTTATCAAGAAAGTTTTAGTTTGATTGGGGAAGACAGAATTAATTTGTATTTTTCCTTTGTGTGGGAATTTATACTAATCTTTAAGAGAATGACCAGTGAGAATTGTATTTAAACAAGAACAAACATTGGGAAATCACTTCATCTGTTAACAGGCACAATCTGGGCTCTGTATTCCTCCTATCATAGCCCATAATACTTGTTATGTATATCCACAGGCCAAGTCAATCCATGGTTGCTCCAGGATGTAGCTCAGTGAGTATCCTTCTCAAACCATGCCTCAGCTGCCTATTTTCTCTTTGTCTTTCTCAATGACAGGGTTGTAATCCCCAAGAAGTATGACAGGGTGAACTGTGTTGGCCTATTCCACAAGAAAAGCTGTTCCATCCGTGTGGTGAAGAAGACTAATCCTGAGATAAGTTGCAAAGTCTACAATGGAATTGGATAAGACCACATGATGCATTTCTCCTCTTTCACACCTACCCCAGAAGCTGAAAACACTCTGCATCAGCAAGCAGCATGGCTTCAAGAGAAATGAGTTTGCCTTGTGCCTTTCACAGCTCTAATTGTGCCATATCTATCTCATTTCTGATGCTAGTTGGTTTGTCTTACACACATTTGTAACCAATTTTCCTGTTGGGATCCAGAGTTAAATACATTTTCTCATACATTAAATCACTGTAGTCACTGATTGGTCTCCTTGAAAACAGAAGAATTCATGGTGTCTATAAATGTTTGTAAATCTAATTATCGATTTGGAATTCATCTAGCTTTTAAAGTAACAGGCATTATATAAGTTGTTGTCAGACACATGGACTCATTATGCTATTACACTTATTGACATTCACCCAATGACACGTGCACTAGAATAATGGGATGAAACAAACCAGAAAAACAGCCCCTTGAAATCCTCCCCTCACCTTGGTGCCCTGTGTAGGTCAATCCATTAATGCAGATGCACAAGGGAACATATTCTCCTGGAGATGACTGGTACATTACAAAAAAGGCAATCCCATGCCTGAGAGTCCAACATACTGCAAAGAAGTGCCATATAAATAGCTCTGTAGCCTCCCATACTGGGCAATAATCTTATTTAGATCAAAGTCCACTGACAAACAACCCCATGAAAGCTGTTTTTATAGGAAACCTAGACTATAAATCATGTTTAGCCTGTAGACTTCAGGCATTACACTGTGCCTGGTGCAAAGTCCATAAAAGTAGTTAATATGAGAAATATCCTATAAAAATCTATTTATACAATATTAAGAGCAATTATAAAGAGTGCTGTACAGCTTAAAAGACCCAGACAAATAATTTGAGTGTGCTCAGTTTATTCAACACTGACGCCATAGTGCTTTACCTCATCTGCCTTTCCTCTACCTTCCTGAAGTGTATTACAATTAAATATTTCATCTGATGCAAACAACAACTTCTTTCAATATCTGCTGTGGAAAACCACAATCACATGGTCTATTTAAAGTGTGGTGCTGAGAACATACAAGCAGAAACCTGCACCTAATAAGGAAAACAGTTACTAATTATCAGAAAAAACCCATCTATGGTAGTCAGGGTGATTTCAGAAAGCAGGTAAAATGAGAAACACAATTTCTCTTTTTAAATTTTTGGGACTCAGGGACAGTTAGAACAAGAAAGAGCTCCCTTTGATGATATCCCCCTGTGCCTTCTTGGGACCAATGCCATGGACATCCCTGCATCTGGCTATGACCAGTCTGGGAGGAACAGACATCAGAGGGGCCCTCACTTCTCTACTTGAGGAGGCTGACTCAGAGGATCAGAGGATCTAATCCAGTTATATATATGTGTGTCTGTGTATATATTTATGGAGGTAGATGTAGATACAGATATATATACACAAAGGAGTTATGATATCTGCTTCCTAAATGCTAGATTCATTTATAAGAGCCTGTCTAGGGACCCCTAGTAATAGGCTTACTTCTCTGAACATCATTTAAGCAGTTCAGAAAAATTCCTGTGAAGATACATCAGTTTCATAGCTCCCCCCCATGGAATGAAGGTTATGAACAAATTGAGAATGGCTGATAATGGTTGAAATAACAATTCTGCTTCAGAAAGAGGTAGGGATTCTCACAAAATGAAGTCAAACCAAACTTCTGTAAAATATCTACAAGGATGCCAGGTAGCCCTAATAAACTTAGTATACACATGGACTATGTGCTCTTCCATGGTACATTTTCTCCACATGCTTTTGTCATCAAGTGCCTAGTACTATTCTTTATGGATATTGTTTGCTTACTGTTTAGCAGTGCCAGAGAGAGCAGAACTCCAGATGCTGGAACACAATTAGATTTGCTAAATGTACTGTAGCAGAATTGGCCTCAAGAATTTCATGCTCAGAGGAAAGGAGACAGTATCAGGACTCCTTTAAGGAAGGCTGATATGGCTGAAGATCTGACACAGGAATGCTGGAGGAGACCCTCAAAGCATCCAGAAAGCAGCTTTTATCCCTCTGCTGTCAGTGACAATCCTGTCACTGCAGGGAAATGCTCAATTGCACCCGATGTTGATTGGTAGAGGCCTTGCTGTCACCATAACCACTTGCAGGAAGGAGTTATTTGGCCAGAGCAGAGAGGACTATCTCTTCATGCACCTGTACCCCCTTGAAAGGTGTTGTCTCCATGGAGTCCTACTGTTTTTGTAACCAGCTGCAGAGCAAGGACAGTTCTCCAATGCCTTCTCATAACAGGAGCATGTGCTGTGGGTGGAGATTGGGAGCAGGGCTTCTTGTTGTTCTCTAGAAACTAGGACAGCCCCATGCCATGCCAGCTACACTTTCTTTACGCCATCCCCTATCAACAACAAATGGGACTGGTCCACTGACAGCACTTAACTAGCAATAGTTGGCACTACAGTACTTCCACACTGCTTCCCAATGTGGAATTTCCTTTATTATGCACCCTCATAGGAATATTCTTGTTCATTTCTCAAGTCTTAATGGGCTGGGATCCTCACAGAGACTCTCTACAGACTATTGTTCAGTAGTTCCCACTGGGAAGTGAGCCATAGCCAGATACAAGCCAGTCAGCTCAAGTACCAGAACCCCTTTTAGCGAGGTGCTGAACCCAGATCCACCTGAGGATATTTGCATCAGCATCTTTGTCTTGCTGCTGCTGTTCTCATTCCAGGGTAACTGCAGTACTGCCCCCTCTATGCTACAGTCTGGACAGCTGCTGCTTGGCAGCTCCAGCCCCATTGCACCTCTTGGCTTACATGCAACAGCAGCCACTGAGTGTAAGTCCCAGATCCACAAATGCCTGCAGGGTTGGAATGACTTCAGTGCTGCTCCCACATCAGCTTATGAATAGTGAGCATTTTCATCCTGCAACTTGGATGCGATGTGGAAAGAACATGTGTGTAACAGGACTCTAATGGAGCCCCTTTCACCTCACCAAAATGGCCAGGATCTTGCTAGAGAAGTTCATAAAAAAATCTGTCACATCCCAGATGACATAGCAAGATACTGGTGACTGAGTTGTCTCCTGATCCCTGGGCAGTAGAGACCTGAGCAGTGTTTCAGGAACCATGATACAGCTGTCCTCTACTGACTTTAAAAAGAGAGCAGATGTTTATTTGCTAGTTTGCAAGCTCTGCCCAAACGTCTGAATTGAGAGAATAAAAGTGGTGCAATATATCTTTAAATGTTTGGAAGGTGTGGAGGCATGGCTGGCTAAGGAATGCTGCAGCTGAGGGGAACAGAAGAACAGCTTAGCAAATTCAAATATCCCTCAGAAAAAGGCCTGTCTGTTTCCTAATGGTTTTCCTCCCCTTTCTTTAATGCTTTGAACAGCAGTACAAATAAACATACGATAAATAAATTAAGGAAGAAACAGAAGTGTACAAGCCAGCCAAATAAATAATTTCAGCTTCTCTGTCTCCAGTAAGATAGGAAGAATCTTCTGTTTCCTGCAAAGCTGGCCAGAAGCTCGAGATCTGTGTGGGTGATGCTTTCTCATGCTGAGCACAGCCTGCATGTCCTTTTCCATCACCAGATCAGAAAGTGTGTCTCCAGGGGTGCCTGGGTGAAGGGGAAATGTTGGGATATGGGGTGCTGGTTTAAACTAGTTGGTAAATAAGGCCTCTGAAAAGGAGGCTGGGAAAAAAAAAAAGTAACACAAAATAGGAAGCAGATGGAGCAACCCCTGATTTAAAAATCATTAACTGTGGACAACTGTCCAGCTTACACCATTCATTATATATATTCCAGTTATATATATACATATATATTCTCTGCACCATAAGATATAAGAAATGCCAAAACACTCTATATCCCTACTTATACTTTGCTTATTTCTCTAATGAGGAAAGCTGTCTGCTAAACTCTCATAGTAGAAGATCACATCTGTAATAGCTGTTTTCAGAAAAAAACAAGAGAAAAGTAAAGTATAAATTAAAAACTGTTTTCACTGTTAGTTTAGTTCACATGAATTTGCACTTATTTTGATATTGAAGCATTTTATTTCTATTAACATACTACATACCTACAAATAAAAATACCTTCTTGCTACCACTGCTTATCACAACTTAAGAAAGGCTCCAGAACAGCATTAGCCACTGGATTAATTACATAGCTGACTGTAGCTTAAACCATTTTTATATAAAGACCAAAATTAGATTATTCTGGTATAGCTGTTGGAAATATTCTGTTTGTGTAATTTCCCAATGCAAGAGAAAAATTTGCAACTCTGATTTCTACCTTGGTTTTTACCTGGGGAAAAAAAAATCACAGAAATCTGGCACTTCTACAAACCCTTTTCCTCCCTTTATTTCCACCTTTCTCAGTGGCCTTTCATTTCCGAGTTCTTTTCCTGAGTAACAGTGTGTCTCTTCCCCATTCACAATCTAAGGACTTTAGTGTGCACCCTTCTAAAAGAAAATTTCAGTATCTGTCTGTGGTGGAATGGAAAATCTGAGAAAACTGGTACTGGCCTCCTTAGTATGAGGCAAAATTCTCTTTGAAGCCCTACAGAAATCTTGCCTCAGCAAGGAGAACAGGATTAGGCTCTATGTCTGTATTTGGTCTCTCTGTTTTCACTTGAGATCACACTCATGTGCAGCATGGGGGCATACTTCACAGCTCTTTTCTGAAGTATCAAGTATCCCTAGAATTTTTATATTTATACAACAGCAGAGGGAGCCAGAACTTCAAAGTCAGACCATAATCATAAGGCAGAATTCATTGGCTAAGTTGAAGGGAGGGAAGGACAGAGGGCGGGATAGAGAGGAGGAGAGGGAGAGAGATGCCATCCAAATTACCTACAGAAACAACCAGCACGGCTTCCCTCCTGGATTGCAAGAGCACAAAAGATCTTACTTCACTCCTACAACACTTCTGCTTTCTTCCAGAACAGAAATGTGCACCACCAGCAGTGATTCTCTCCATCAGTAACTGGTAAGGATTTTCTAAATTATCTATTTCAGATTGTCAGGAGCTCACATCTCTTTATTGTAGTTATCACCTGTTATTGTTTAAAAAGCAGGTGATTATGTTTGATAAATGATGACTGTTTGACTTGTCATGAAAGACCCAGCCCTTGTATCTACTGAGCAAAGCTTTGCAACCTTTTGGGGTGCAGGAGGGACATGGCGGCTTCTTGGGGGCCTTTGCATTTCAGTGTGCTCCCTGCCACCCTGCGGTGTGACAGAAAGAACCTTCCTGGGTGCCTCTGGTCGCTGGAAAACATTTCTTATCTCCTAGTCCCTGAGATTTCTTGGTCATCACACAACCAATGCAGATCCAAGCAGGATATAACACATCACTCCATGGATGTCCTGACTGACTGTCTGCTAAAGTGCCCATTGCAATGTTTTATAGATTCACCACTTGCTTTGGTAAAGATCACCTGTGTAAAAATATATTTTTTTTTCTCTTGGGTAGCAAACATGTCACAAAGGCCATTACTCTTAAGGAATCAGGGACTAACTACCATTCTCCAGTCTGCTGATTTGCTATTCACATTTTACCTTTGTGAACTGGCTCCATGTCTTTGGTAAGGTTGTTATGAATTTAACCAGAAAATAAAAAGTTGGAGTAAATGCTTTTGTAAAACTTCCCTGTTTTCTACAGGATCAGAGAAGATTAACTCATAACAAAATTTCATAAGCTCCAAAAGCTCAGAAAACATGCAGATGTTTCCCCTCAGAAAACATGCAGATTTGAGAGGGGGGAAAGAGAATTCCCTTTCCTTGATATTTATGTAACTCCTTATGTTATAGACTTGTAACATGTTAATATGCACAAGTTTTTCTATACCCTAATTATGCAGGTTCTAGAATTTTTTATCCTATATAGCTTTTTTAATGACCTAAGATAGTTTCTCCCGATATTTTTGCAATACAAAGCTAAAAAGAGGCGAAGAGACCATCATTAACTTTCACTGTATTGGGTCCCTCATGGATTTAACACTGTTATGGGATGTCTGTGCAAACTCAGTGACATGTTTCCTCTTCTAGTTAAGTGTTGCTTTCCTGGGAAGCCTGGCTAATAATAGCCAAGTGGTTTTTAACTTTTCTTTAGTATGTAAGGCTAAACAGGCCAAATCTGCTTTACTGAGATAATGTCATTGGCAGCCAAAAGGGGATACCACTGTCAGCCAGTCCCCACTACCTAAATTAATATCTGTACTATAAATTCTGGTAATCTGTTGAACCTTTCCATTGCTCCTTTTTTTTTTTTTCCTAGCAGACAACAGGCAGCTTTACTCCCAGTAATTGCTGCAACTCTTTAAATAAGTAATACAATCACTGCATGTCTTTAGGAGTTGCTTCTCTCAGAATGCCAGTTGTTTGAGCAACTGATGTAGATAAGCAAGAGCTTCTAAGTACCAGATAATGAAGCCAGACACTGCAAACATGTTTTTTTCTTTGACTAATGTCTGATGTGGAAATTGGCTTCCACTGTCCATCACAACTATGGAGACTGTTATTTGATTACAGGCAGTGGATGATCACGATCAGCTTTGCAAAAATGACCCACCCTTTTCCAGCGGGCATATAGAGCCCAGCATCTGTAGCAGTCCCCTGCTTTATCCTGCCTCCAGGAAAAAAGTTTTTATAGGGGTTTTCATAGGATGTCTTTGAGTCCAGAGGTTTCTCAAAAGAGCAGTCATGCATTAACAGCTAGAAGCCACTTATGGTCTAGCAATCTCTTGAAACTGAGGGTTTTATTTTCTTCCCTGACTCATTTCTGCAGAATTCCCTTTCCTTTAAGGAATTTTCTGGGGGATACAGGATAATGCCCTGGGGCAAGACTTTTGAGCTGACAAGTGATAATTTGGTTTCTTTTTTTTGAGATAAGCTGAGTGACAGTTGTTACTTTAGAAGGCTGTGCTGTTCACCATGACGGACCATTCAAACTTTGCCTGTGCTTCTTCCTTGCTTCCAACACAAACAGAAGAGTGATAAATGTCTACAAAAGATGTATGTGGGGAATTGAACTTACACTAAGATTAATTCTGAATGCTCATTGTCTTTTTCCTTCTGTATCCTGTTAATTTGTTGCAGACTTTTGTGACGCTTACTTTTTGGAGAAGCTGTCTCATGCTGCATTAAGTAGAGAAGAAATTCTCATAAACATCTTAGTTTTTGTTACTGAACTCTTTCCCAATATTCATTAAGAGTACTGAATAGGATTCCTCTTTCTTCTTTAAAGACAAATGAGCAAAAAACAGGCAAAAATCTTTCTCCCTCAACAAACAGATTTAGGAGATATACTTCTTACTTGTACAAGCCAAATAAATATTGCTTCACTTTCAGGGGAAAAAAAGCTGTTTTTCTCTTAGACCATAATCTCATTGGTATGTTTTATGCAGTAATCAACAAACCTTCAATACAATGAAGGGACTAACACCCCTGTTCCAACTGCACTGGTGATTCACTGTATTAGCTCACCTTTGATTCAAATGTCTAAACAGAATATGCACACATTGCTTTTTACTGGCTCTTGGTTTAGAATAAACTGAATGGCAACCAAACACCTTGAAAGCCAAACACATCACTTGGGAGTGACTACCCTTGAGGATCCGCCACCCAAGGATACCATGATAGGATGCATGGGTGTAAGGTCACTGCAACAATTTTTTTCTGGGACTGCTTTTTACATTATGGTTGCTGGAACAAGAGTTAAAGAGCTCTACAGGCATAGGTGATCTATGCACTGACTTTTCCCAAGACATCATGTTGGCAGGTGGTTTAAAGCACCTCATGGTGCATCACAGGTTCCCTTGAGACACTGGACAACTCATGTCCCATCTCCCTCTCACAGTCCCCTTATCTGTGACAAGAAGGTGATAATTCCTTATTTACCTCTGGGCAGTACCATAAAAGTGAATGCCCAGGAAGTGCCTGCCAGTCACCTGGTGGGGGATACCACAGAATGCAAGGTGTTAAAAAAGAGGGAGCTCCTAACCTAACAACACACATTGCAGAACCTTCAGAGATGCTCTTTATCCCCACCACACTTACCATCCGTGACCAACACACAGCATCACTCAGTTGTTGGTATTTCTCTTGGAAATGTGCTCCATAAACCTGTGGGATCTAGCTTCTGCTTTTCAGGTGGCTCCACCACTTTCTTTTTTTTTCCTTCAGCATAATTAGTTTTCACTGTTGCTTCAGCGTCTCCAAAAGTGTCTGGGACCCTACAGAGGGCTTACTCTGTGGACACAGATGTTTGTAATAACTGCACATATTTTCATATTTTTCAAGCAACAAAAGAGAACCATGTGTTTGTTGTTGAGGATTGTTGTCCTTACTGTAGCTAAGGACATGAGGCTGGGACCGTAGTAAAAAGCTCACATGTTTTGTTTACAGCAAAATCTATTTGTCCTGTCCAAATGCCAGAACTTATCTCTTCTGACTGGTACAAAATATTATTGCCGGCTGCCCATCCCTTAGCTCTGTTTTGCTTGCAGCATCTCCACAGGCCAGCAATCATTAAAAACTATGGGGCTGGTTGAAGGTTTTTCATTCTATATCCATTTTCACACAGACCAGCATACCCTCCTCATATGTGAACATGGAATCAATACATCACCATTTCTGCTTCTTTTTCTTTCAGAAAATGTATCAATCGTTCACATGGCTTGGGCAACAACACAAAAATGAGTGGACAGAAGCAGTCACGCCTATATCCTCAATTTGGAAAATTTCCTTTGCCCCCTCTTTAATGAAGTTTAAACTACTGAGGAAATGAAGACTGTGAGAAAGAAAGGGCTGCTATATTTTGCTTGTGTGACTGTCTTGACTGCCTCAGATGGATACAGATAGATGACAGAAAGATAAAGAGAGATAAAGTTAGATAGATCAACAGGTCTAGCAAAGTAACAAAAGAATTTACTGTATTTGTTCATTTTTGCTGATCCCAAACAATGATCCCAAAGCCTCCTTTCATTTACTGCACACTTTTGATTTCTTTAGTTCCTGAGAGGCAACATCTCTAGAAAACAATAGAATTCATAATGGGAAAGACAAGGCAAAGAAAAGGATTATAGGATAGCAGGTGCTTTTTGTACAGTACTGGTTATCTTTAGGCATGCAATTGTTTAGCAATAAATGCTACTTAATTGAAGTGATAAACTCACTATACCATGGTATTTATGTATTCATACCATGATCATTTGTTTTTTTCTGAATCTCAGACATTTTTCACCATCCCACAAACTTGAGTAATGATTAATCATTGAGGAAAGTGTCATGCAGTGGTTAAATAGTGTCATGCCCCAAGTATTTATTTACTTTTCTTACTACAAGCCCTTGTACAGCACGGAACTGCCTCTGGCCTGATGAGAACTCCCAGCAGAGTCATATTTTTTCTCTTTGATTCCTGGACACAGAGGATTTAGACTCAAGGGTCAGGATTATAAACTAGCCTTTGCTATGGCTTACAGGAGTCATCTGGGAGAGTCGAGGCAGTTCTGTGACTGAGACTTCCAAAAGTATGCAGCACCAATTAACTCCATGGTTTGGCTCCCTGAATCCCACTGAAAGACACAGCTCATGGCTTGCAGCAGTGAGTTTGAAGTAGATCTGTCTGTGCAGGAACACTGTCTAGCAGATAGAACATGCTTTTACAACAAATTTGTAAAAAAAAAAGAAAAGCAAAATTATGCTGAGGGAGAATCAATAAAAATCTTCCCAGAAGGAATTAAAAGATACTATCAAAATCATTCACTTTTAAAGCCAAGATCAGGGAACTGGACTGTATTTCTGATAAACCCTGTCATGGTCACATTAGAGGAGATATCAGTGCTTCGTGGGCACTGGAGTTCATCCGGAATGAGGAAGCAAGAAATTTGGACTGCAGTTCCCATGACCTGTCACAGCTGTATAGAAGCTGGGAAATGTTGAAATTGTTTTGAATTATTTTAGACTTTAAAAAAAATTTCCCATGATATTCCTCCAGAGAATGAGCCTGAATTTTTGCATGGTGATTGTTTTGCACAAACGTGAGTTCTGGCTGCAATTACAAATGCATTTCACAGAAAATATTTTAATGTTGGCTTTGTGCACCTAATATGCCTTGCTTTGCACATTGATATTTAGCACAACTGAAGGTAAATGCAGCCTTATAATGTCCTCTGTCCAGTTTTGGATCAGAACCTTGCAAAAACAGAATTGCACACAATTTTACCCTGGTTGGGTTTTGATCTGGTTTTCTTGTAGCGCTGCTCTGCTTCATTAGTGATGTTCAAGATACTGCACCAGTGAAATAATGAAGTTAAGATGTTCTTAAATCCATGGGACAACCTCACAATGAATAAACATAGTCATAATTCAATAGACTTTGCACAGACTTTCATACTACAGTTATCAAAGGGTTCCATTTTATGATCTAATAAACTATGTAAGAGGGAACTGCAGAATATATACAAAATCCCTGGCATTTGCTTCCCTGTCTCCCTCCTTACCCTTTTGACTAATTTCTTGCAGCATAACTAAACATATTTTTTCTTTTCCTCTCCAGATATACCCAGACCTTCCACAGCCAGACAGAACAGATATAACGCTTTTAGGCTGGCTCCAGAAGACTCAGACTGTGTTTGACTGCCACCCTTTTGGATAAATATTTTGGGATTCAAGATGAATAAGACAAGGGCTGTTAATGATGTTTTTCATTTCCTGATCAACAAGAACTGGAGCTCAAGCCGAAGCTTTCCTATGAACATTTCTAATCAGTGCATGAACATCACCGACCTTACTGTCTTTCTGGCCACCTCTTACAGCTTGGAGACTGTTCTGGGCATTGTGGGAAACATCTGTCTGATTGCTGTCATTGCCAGGCAGAAGGAAAAGGCAAATGTCACCAATATCCTAATTTCCAACTTAATAATTTCAGACTTGTTTATGTGTCTTGTCTGCCTGCCTTTCACCGTTGTTTACACCATGATGGACTACTGGATATTTGGAGAAGTCATGTGCAAAATGACCTCTTTCACTCAGTGCACAACTGTGACAGTGTCAATCCTTTCCCTTGTCCTTATTGCTTTGGAAAGACATCAGCTCATCATAAACCCGACTGGCTGGAGGCCAAATACCTCCCAAGCCTATCTAGGAATTGGAGTGATTTGGACTTTAGCGTGTCTCATGTCCCTACCCTTTTTGACCACATCCATCTTGTCTAATGAGTTGTATGAGCAGCTCTCACACTTCATGAACTTTTCCACTGATAAGGCAATATGTATCAACTCGTGGCCTTCTGAGCAGCACAAACTTATCTACACTACCACTTTACTGCTCTTGCAATATTGCATCCCTCTGTTCTTCATTATCCTTTGCTACCTGCGTATCTACTTACGCCTGCAGAAGAGAAAGGACATGTTTGAGAAGAGCGAGTACAGTAACCGAGCAGTCCAGCTGAGAAGGATAAACATTTTGCTAGCATCCATGGTTGCTGCTTTTGCTGTTTGCTGGCTACCACTGCATGTTTTCAACACCATTGTGGACTGGAATTACAAAATCATTTCGCCTTGCTACCACAACCTGATCTTCTCATTGTGCCACCTGGTAGCTATGGCTTCTACCTGTGTCAACCCTGTTATCTATGGTTTCCTAAACAGCAACTTCAAAAAAGAAGTGAAGTCACTGATTCTGAGCTGCCAGCATAATTCAGTAACTGCTTCAATGGAAGAATATGATCATTTGCCTTTATCCACCATGCAGACTGAAATTTCCAAGGGGTCACTGATGTTGAACTGCAGGCACAATTCTATCTAATGACCAGAAAACATTTCAGAAGGTGCACTGACACCACACACCAATTATTACCTGTGGGTATATAAAGCAACTGGTGATGCCACAGCTGGGATGTGAACAGGAAGCCGTCACTACCTGAGTTTTGGAAGAACAAGCCCAGTAGTGTTGTAAATGCTCACAGTTGCTGCTGTGGTGCACAAGTCTTTGTGTCACCGAGGTGGTACAGACACTGAGGAGACTGGGCTGATGTATAAGCAGCTGCTCTAAGATCAGTGACTAAGCTGTGGCTGCACAGAGGCTGACACAGGTTCATCAGTGAAACTCATATCTCTACCATGGCTGCAGTAGAAAACCAGATTTCCAGTTTCATCACTGCAGGCTGCCAAAAGTTGTGTTGGAGAAGACTCTCTGTTTTTCAGTATTAGTAAGATTTTTATGCACAGCTGACACACCAGTGGAACAGAGATATGTAAATATCAATTTTATCTACCACCTCTTGCAGCCCATTAAGTTACAGTAAACTTTCAGATCTTCACATAAAACAACTGCCTGTTTCCATGAAACTTCACTCTCTGCCATAGGCTTGAGAATAGTCATTGCCTCTGCAAGTAGGGACAAGGAACAATGACGCTGTATGTAAAGAAGACAGTCACTTATGAAGGATGGCAGCAAATGAAAATGTTATTTGATGGATTAAACTCAAAATGCATTGAGATGTTACTGAGAACTATTTTAAAGCATGTGAGTAACAGCTGTAGATCTACATGGAAATGAGTCAGTTCCCGCTGCTGTCAATCACCAAGCTCTGCGATGCTAAAATCTTCATGCCATGATGGTACGAGATGGCCAAATTACAGGAATTGTTCCAGGACTTGGTAGCAACATGACATTCTGCTTCAGCATCTTCTTGTTACTTTAATTGCAACATATCTAATTCAGAAGGTCAGAATGAGCGTGAAAACCTGTTTGTGGAAATCATGTGTTTCCAGAGTGGCTACACTTCCAAAGAAATAAGCATATGCATGGAGAATTTGAGTTTTCTTAAAAAATAAAACCCGATGTAAGATATCAGTCTCACTCACTGGCATCAGCAACACAGGTGAATCTGAAATTCCAACAAATCAATAGAAGGTCAATGAAAATACACAGGTGGAATCCAGGTCAGGCTGAAGCCAAGCTAAATAGGTAGTATTGTCAATTGCTCCAGTAAAATGAAGGTCATGTTTTTTCACAGCGTGTTATTTGTAGCCTTTGTTTATGAAACCTACAAACTATAAACTCTTTTTAACCTCTGGAGCCAGAGAAATTGCTCAGTGACTACTGAGAAACCAAGGCATGCCCGAGAAGGCCATACTGAGCTACAGATTAAAAAAAAAAACAAACAAACAAACAATACAGGTAGCAAGTGCAAAAAGGAGATCAACCAGCTCAATGCTAATGAAATACTTAAGCATATTCTGTCCTGATTTCCTAAACTAACCTTAGCAGAATACTGGACTAGATGGTCAGCTGAGGTAATTTCAACATGAATTGTGCTCTGATAAGCAGTGGTTACTTGCTGCAGGTTTGCATGGAGCTGAAGATATCCAGTGTATAATTATGCAAACAACTAGAAATTGTTGGCAGATCTCTGATTAGACAAATTGGTATAAAGACAGGTGAGGAAAAGACTTCCTCCCATGCTGTGAACTGAGTATCTGAGGACAAGAGCTAACCCCTATGTTATAAGGCAGCAAGAGCTATCATAAACCCAGCTGGCAGAAATAAAAGTTAACCCCTTGCCATGAGCTGGGTGCACAGATATCGGTGGTAAAACTTGAAGTTTGCCTTGAATTCTTGTGTATTACCCTGTAATTCTGGCCAGAACCTCTGTATCTTAGTAAGATACTTTGTGTGTGATTACCTTTTTTATCTTCCTCAACTATGTGGCAAGATATTTTTGCTCTTTTCAAATGGATTCCAGCTTTCTTTTATTTTCTTTGTTACTTGCTATGCTATGCTGAGAAGTTGTTTGTCTTGATTAGTTTGCATGCAATGTGATTTCTAGACTGGACACTGAGTCTACTAGAAACACAGAATAAGAGGACTCTTATATTAGATGCATCTTGAAATTTGCTACTGTAGCCGAAACCACCATGGGATGCTGAGTAGCACAAAATACAGCTGCTCCTCCTAATCAGTGTGAGTTACATCAAAACTGTGCTTTATTACTTCAAGGCTTAAATACTATTTCAACTTTTCATTGTTTTGCATTTAGAATCAATCTAAGTAATTGAGCAATTCTGCCTGGTTTTTGCACTTGTTAGAATTCCAGCACTTAGCTAAGGTATCTGTAAAGCTATTTTAAGAATAGTCTGCTAAACACAAACACAGAAGATCACCTGATACATGGTCTTAAGTATATAACTTTTCAAGCTCCAGTGTCTTAAATGGAAACACAATTACTTTTAGCATTTGCACTTCCATAAACCTGTCTTTGTCACTGGTTCTGTGCACTGGCATTGTGCATCAGATCCGAGTTCTTCCTGTAAAGGGTAGAAATATGAGCGGGATCTGACACTGTTTAACTGTAATTCACGTGGCCATTGGTTTCCATGAACACAAGTAGATACATAAAGCAAGCAGATCCAACTTTACACTAACACAAACGGATGTTATCTTCCTCTCGTGATTAAGCAAAGTGTCAAGTTTGGAGTCAACTACTGTTTATTGCTAACTGACTTTGGACTGGATAAACTACAGGATTTAAACACTAAAAGCCACCAAACTGCACCCATATATCTAACTGCAAAAATGCAGATCCTCAGAACTCCCAACCAGCTGCAGTCTATCCATCTACTTAACATCTTGAGATACATGTTTTTCAACCTCTAGAATTTCCTAAGTAACTAAATAAACTTTAAAGAAAACATATTAAAATAAATAGATCTAGGTACCAAAGGACTGAATATGTAACAGGAAAGGTGCCTGTACCAAGCCTCTGTGCATACACCAAGGCTTATGCTGCTGTGCACAGATGCAGTAGAGGATACTACCCTGTTAGTTTTTTAAGAACTTCTGTAGCAACTGTTCCCTGTTCCCTCTGAAGGCAAAGTCACAAGGCTGAGTGCAATTATGCCTGCATAGTTGATACAGCCATTTTATTTGTCACTTTGAGGCTTTATGCAGCCGAAGGAGGCTAGGTTTCTTTGGTCCCAGCAGAAGGTAACAGAACAGAAATAGCTTACATACCTTTTATCCATTTGTAAATAACAGATACTGTTAATGCGTAAGAAGCATTGAGCATTTTTGTGTCCATTGTATACAGTGATTGTTTTGGGTATACTCTCTAAAGTTCTGCTACTGAGTCACAAAAGCAATGATGGAGAAATAGGCAGGAGTTGTGCAAATCATGAGTTCCTACAATTTTGAGACCTTACACTGCCTTTTTTAAAAAAAGCTTTTCATAATCTTGCCTCTTGTGGCACATTATAGGAAGTCAGTAAGGTTTTCAGAGCAAGAGAACAACTTATTGTGTGATAGAAATAGCACACTACAGGAAATCTTATAATAACAAATAAAGTAATATTGTCTGTGTCACTTGTCTGTCCCTGCTTCTGTAAAATGATGTAAGACTCTCCATAGTATAAAATACATAAGATTTAGTCCTCAACTAGTATTTATCAAGAGAAAAAAAGTGAATGGTGTGATAAGAACCACTAATGTGTGAAGGATGAATAATTTGACACATTATTCCAAAGGACAATGGTGCAGCGCCGCTGACAATGGGGGACAGGCAAGTACCAAAAATTCAACATGGTACATTGGAATATTCTGATGCCAGAACTCAAATCATCTTCACAGACTTTTCAGATTGCACAGGAAGCTGGGTCCTGTGTGGCACAGTGTCCTGAGCCCCAACCAGAAGCACAGCCAGAAAGTAACTGTCTCTGCTAGGATGGAAACCAATGTGGAACTTTAAACAAAATTTTACTGAACTTCATAAAGTGCTTTGACTGGGTTAAAAGTACTGGTAAATTTCTCTGACTGGGTTACCTGGCTTGACAGAAAGTAACCCAAGGTACTAGAAATAACTGCAGATCATGCTGTTACCCAGGTTTGGTTTAGTAGACTTGCACACACAAGGGAAGAGTGCAATAGCAGTATCTGCCTGCCTGCACTGGTGGTGTGTGGCATAAGCTGCCACAGGGGCTGGCAGCAATGCTGTGACAGCCATCAGTCACATCTGCAGTGTGGGTTTGCTGTGTGCAAACACAGAGTGCACACACATGTGAGGACTGACACTCAGTGAGAGATTATTGTGAAATAAGATGTCATACCTGAGGACCCCTTCAGAGATCCTTTTGCTTTGACCCAAGTGTCTTCTCACAAGATCACCTGGCATTTCATTTTACAAGCCTTTCTCTTCAAGTTTCTTATCAATCAAACACTGGCCTGATTTTCATACCAGTATTGATTTCAATGTAAATTGTTGATGTGTAATCTGGGTTTATACTGTACGAGCATCAAAATCCACAGAGCCTTTATGATCTTCCCTCCCTTTCTCAGTTCGCTCTATAAAGTCACTTATTTGAATTCAGGAAGTCATAAGTAGAATAAGCCTGAGATTTATACTTCTGTACTATGCCTTTCCTGCCAGACAATGCTCATTATGCCTTAGTCAGAATTGTTTTTTTGTCCTTCCAGTAAATGCGTAGATAAAGCCCAGTAGCAGCACAGAGATTTTATGATGGAATCCTGTGTTGAAATTTAATTCCAGAGTTGTCTACCTTTTCTTTTTTCTTTGTAAAACTTTAGTTGATGACATCCACCACCCCTTGGTAAAAAAATACTCGGTTAAATAGTGCCATAGGATTCATCACATATGATAGGAAGTATTTTGTTCAATAGAAATTGCAACACAGATTACCAGAGATAATACTAAAAACATAGCCATGATACACATAAAATGATGGCATAATAGTAATATGAATAAGTACTTTTAGAAGAATATCACAAGATGCAAACTGACAGTAAAAAGCTGGCTTTTCAGTCAAATGGTACGCTAACAGAGAACATGGAACTTGCACTGTAAGTCTTTAAAATAGAATTCACTATTAAATGCACAGAAAAAAATTTCTGTCCTTTGAATACAATAATTTGAGTTCATGATTTTCTGTGTCCCTTATCCAGTCTATGGGAATATGAATCCTCCCTGTTGGGAGCTAGTGGGCAAATACCTTCATCATTCAGAAGTATTTGTCTTGATTCCATTTCTACAAGGTGATTGCATGTAAAATGCACTTGTCCAATGCCATGCCTTTAGTAAGCTAATGAGCATTGATTCATGTGGTTGATAGGCTGATTTAATGACTAAAATTAATTACATGCACCATATATTTCTTTATATTAAAGATAGATTGTAGAAAAGTTCCTGATGTCCTAAATACCAATATAACCACTTTCTGAAAGACCCTGCATTCACAGCAGAGAGCTGAAAAATGCAGGAAAGTTACATTCTTCTCAGCATCTATGTTAAAAGCAAAGGAATTTACAGACAAGCAAAGACTTTTGTTTAAACTCACAAATACCCAGACTGCTCCAGGAGCATAATGCACATGTACCCCCAGGGCTATGTTTTGGGAAGGCTCCCAGGCTATAAAAATAGCAGAAGCTGGCTAGCACTGTGGTAAAGGTTTTTAGAGCTGGTGAAATGAAATAATACCACCAGTCCCATTTAAAATTCAGCGTGTGCTGAAATCCATCAGGGAAATGCAGCCACATGGTCCCACATTGCGCAACGTCCTTTCCTAATAGCCCATATTTCCACAAGCCCCACGCTGCATATGACACAACACACAGGCATGCACAGCCTCCCCACAGCCAAGCTCATCTCCTTGAGCAGACAAAAAGGCCCTCTGTCAAACCTACAAACTGCTAATACAGCTCCTCTGCCTCAGAAGTAGTCTATGAAAGGTGGTTCTTGAGAGGATGAATGCTTCCCATGCACAGCAAGGAAAAGTTTCATGGCATTGGAGTTGCATTCAGCATCTGGGTGAGTTGCTTACAGACACTCCTAAATAAGGGAGTATCTCATTGTTTGTGGGAAGGAAGCAAGGAATTACTTGGCTGGAACAAAAGGAAGTGCTCTACCTGTATTTAGAGCAACAGGCAAAGTATTTGCAAACAAACCCCTCCAGCTCATGCTCAATTATTTGTACTGCAAAATGAATATATTACATTACAGATTTGCAAAGGTTAAGGTTTAAGCAAGGACAGTTTGAGGTTTTGTGCCTCATAACATTTTCACTGATCAGTTTTCCACAAGCCACAATTGGTTAGACTACAATATGCACAGCATTCCAGGATTAAAATATACATAAGATCTATCATAAACACACAGTTTCTCAGGATCTAGGCCTTGGAACAAATGTACACAGTGTATTTTAAAAATAGGTCTTTAAGAAAATGGATTTTTTATTTTGAAAAATTTCAAACAACAACTAACAAAGACAAAAAAATAGTCCCTCATTCTGCAAACAGGTTGAATGAAGTAAAAAAAAAATGTTTACTTCAAATTATGTGAGTAAGAAGAGTGGTTTGGTGTTAAATTTTCTATGGTGCAATACTTCCTAGGTCAACATATTAGTTTCACTAGACAGAACAAAAAGGAACAGCAATGATAAACACTGCAAAACACACAGGAGTGCACTGCTGTGACTGGTAAATGGTATGGCCGGCAGCAGTTCTGAGCTGCTGATAGCTTGTCTTTAGTTTAATAAGAAGGAACGTGCCTTTGTTTCAACCAGCTTAACTCAGTATCAATTTTTATAAATAGAATTCACCTGAAAGAGCTAGAAGGCAGCATCTGAGCACACAGAGAGAGTATTTGAGTTTAAAGGACAGGTTTAAGACATTAACCATAATTTTCTTGTATCTAGGAGATCATGCAAAGTCTTTATTAGTTTTTTTTTTTAGACTTGGAAACAAATCAATTGATGCTGTTGCTATGATTCAGCCATGAGCTTGACTGGCTGCATTCACTTGTGTCTGTATAGTCTGTTATTAAAGGTAGGGAATGAAAAGAACCACTCTGGTGCTTATTTTAAGCACACTTATCAGCAGCAATCACCTATTTTATACTAAGAGCAAACAATGTTTAATATATCCTTTTATAACTAAATACAAATTACTAAGGGGTCAATAAGTGGTATGGGGTCAATAAGTGGTACCAGCTTCCAGGAACATCCATTCTTTATCAAACCTTTTTTTTTTTTTCTTTTTTTAAAATAGCATTTATAATATCCATTCAGGAAAACACTGTCAACTGTTTTAATAGAGGTTTACAAATCACTGCTTTGTTAGGAAAGAATGTCTGTGTTGCATCCTCTGTTAATATGCTTCAATTGTAAATAACTGCCAGCAGCAGTTATCTCCTACAATAAACTCCAGGCCTCCCAGTGCTGTGAGGATACACAGAAATTAAGTATAGGCAACTTAACTTAATTTCCACCTACAGGAGCACATGAGCTTGGACACCACTGCATTTTTTCCTTTATGCCACAAGGACATGCATGGACATTCACACAGGCTCAGTGCAGCCACAGCCACAGACCTACTCTGCCACACAAGACAGCAGGGATGTGCAGATAACTAACTTCTGAGAACAGAATACACTAACAAATTAAGTAGGTGCATGCCTTACCTTTCTCTTTTCAGAGCCCTGAAGACACAGGCTGATAATTTTGCTCACCTATGTGTGCTACAGCTTTCTGCTGCTGCAGAAGCTGTGCAGGGAAGTGAGGAAGGGGTTACACACATGCCCATACATCAGCTGCTCAGCAGTCCAGTCAGGGAAGAGCATGGCCTTGCCCAAAGTGCTGATGCACACCTGATGGAGCAGGGTTTTGGGAGGCACAGGTGTGGCAGATCCCTTTCTGCAGGCAGCAACAGGTTCTGGGAAGGTGAATGGCTCATCAGTGGTGACAAAACCAAGAATATTCCCAAGTGGTCAGAGCAGGATTTCAGAGGGACAAGGGAATGACACAAAGCAGAGGTCTAAGGTTAGGCAGAGCTTTGAGGATCCTTTTTTGGAGTGTAGATGCCCAAGCTCCATCTAAATCTAATATTAAACTCAGCTCCAATGTGACATGACTCCCAAGTCACACAGGGAGCTTGTATCTGAGCAGCTGTTGAACCCAGCCCTACACCAGCACACTAATCAATAATCCATTTCCACCTTAACCATACCTAGAGCTCTGAAAACTGCAGCTCCAGCGTGTTCAATCCAGAATAGACTCAGGGGTAAGAGCACTGGAAAAGATATGGGGATGTACAAGGTGACCTAAAAAAGTATGGGCAATCACACAACTGGAACAATTAAAATGATTCCCCTTCTTGGGGAGTCACTTGATTTTATAATTAACTTGGTTTGAATGAGTTTATTTCTTGCAGGCTCTGTAGTACTAATTAACCACCTAGCCCCTGAGGAACACCTGCCTGTGCAGAACTTAATAGATATGCTTTCATGCAATTTTAATTCTTATTTGGTTAACTATTTTTAGACCTCCACAGCTGCACCTAAAGAAAGGAAAGGTTCTGTATGCTCTATCTCCATAAGAAAAGCACCCAATATGTACAGTGAGCTGAAGATAGAGGTCTGAGTTTTTCAGT